CTTCAGGAGCTGTAAGAATAAATGTGAGCATTTTACCTTATTTCTTATTTAGCAGGTTTGACCCAAGCAAGAAGCAGGGCTAGATGCCAGAGAGAGAAAGAAGCAAAAGGAGAGAAGATCTGTTGTAGATAGTTCTTTACTAAAACTATTTCCTGGCTTATGATTATACGGAGAACATTACAGGAGTCATAAGATGTGAAACTCATTGGGCTGAAGAAAAACCAGTGTACCTTTCAAGTCTCCTCTCTTCTTGTTTCTCCCTCCTTTCCTTCCTTGAGCAGCTATTTAGATCTTAGCCACCTTGGTCAAAGTCCAAAACTCTGTCCTTACACTGGCTCTTCAATTCACAAGGTCCAAAGTAGAAAGAATAAAAGAATCATTGTCTAATTTTTAGTACTTCTTTTGAAGCAGAGAATAAAACACTACTGCAGGTCAGATGTTAGTTGTTTCTAGAACATAGTGGTTTACAACTGTTATCACTAACAGCAATCACATAAATCTGAGCAATATTGGGATATGACTGTCCTTCAGGTCAACAACTGCATTTCATGGCTGGCCAGTGATTTGAATTAGAGACTCATGTAGCAAAATGATTTCCACTCTGCCACACTGTTCCTTCATAAAATAATGAAGTCAAAAAGGAATAGTGGTTATGTCACAATGCTGAAGAGCTCAAAATAACAGCTTGAGTAGTCATTGAGTTAAAAGTTTTATTCATTCAACATCTCACATTACAAATATTTAAAAATTATATGCATACTGGTATAAATAGTCATTTGCAAACTATTTAATAACATTAATTTTCCACTAGCACTTCAACAAATGAACTCTCTTAAAAAAGAAACTTGTGTTATAACTTAGAGTAGAACATACAAAAATATGAACTTAATGTGAAAATGACTTTAATAAAAAATGAATTACCCTTATTTAAAATGCTATAATAAATACTACAACCTCCCCATACACAGTAAAAACTATATGGAAATTCAGCCAAGTAGTACAAGTAACTGACATACTTAAATAACTTTTCCTTCTGATAATATGAGCATTACATCGGGGGAAAACATATTAGGGATTAGTAAAAACTAGACACCCACTTGCTAAAAGTTTCACTTCCAAAAAATATAACAAAAGAATCTGATGAAAATTATAAAAACTAATTATACTTTAAATTTTAAAAATATAAAAAATAAAACAGTTGAATACAATATTGTCCCAATTCTTACAATGCTATCAATCACAGTAGCTTTAAAATAAGATAATAAAATAAAGCAAATGACCAAAACCTCTTTTATTCCTTTTTTTAAAAAATAATCTCAAATTTACATTAGTAGAAAGATTGATTTCTGATTCTTTTCTTTAGAAACACCAGCAAGAAAGAGGATTTACTAGAACAGTAGAAAATGACATTTTTAAATGTCTGCAATTAAAAACAAAGAATTACACTGCAAAGATCTTCCAGAAGTCTGAAATAAGTATTGCACATAACTTGAAGTTAACTTGCCACAATTCATCACATTCAAGTTTTAAATCACCTTTTAAAACAGAAGGCTTTAACTCTTCAAGAAACAAAAAAGGGGTGAATTATCAAGTCTTTCCAACAGCATCCTTATAAAACACTAAAGTCATTCACTGCAAGTTTTAGATTTGCTTTCTGCAGAGGTCTGTGTATGGAGAAGTAGATACTATATACCAAAAAAGCACGGGGCAGTGGGGGGTTCCTTTACATATAAAATAATCAGAAACACTTTATTTTACATTGCAAAAATAACCATGTAATTACTCTGTAACTACATTGTAAGTACATGGCCAGTGCCATGCTTGTGAGAGAAAATGACATGCTTGTTTACACCCCTTTAAATAAAGTGATACCCTAAGATTTTAAAACTAATTACATGTTAGTTATGCTTGGAGTGACATGGCAACTCCACCCTCCCATGTAATCAGAAGGACATATTATATTAGCACTATCTAGAGTACAGAGTAATATAGATAATCATTTATGCCCTGTAAATTGAAGTGTAACCAAATAATCTGTAAACACGCTTTTCACACAATCACCACAAGTGAATATTAGTAGAATAACATTTTTCTTTTAATATTAGTCATGCATACTAACATTACATGCCCACCACTGGGCAGGCTTGGGTTTATTTCCTTACATATGATTTAAAAGAGCAGACACATCTCTGCAAACACCTAACATCAATTTGTTAAGATTAAAAATGGCTAAACATTCACCAAAAAACATCTGCATTTGTGTATTACTTTTAAAAACCTATTAAGAAGCGGTAGACAATTTGGGATGTTACTTTTAAACTTCTACTCTATGCTTATGCATTAAATTTCAAGGGTCTAAAGACAAACTCTCTCATTTGTCACTTTCATGCTTTTTAAAAATTTCTTTTTAAGTCTCAACTTTACATATAAGTATTTTTTCTTTAAATTATATGTACACCAAATACCTGGTGCTGGGCTAAAGATGTTTAAGCAACATGCTTTCTTTTCTCTGCAAATTCTAAAATAGCATTGCCAGTGCACAACATCCATAATTCAAAATGTATGCAGAGCACTGAAATGTATAAAAAGCAGAATATAAGAAAATAAAATTTATTAAAATTATTTATATTAAAAAATGAAGTATATGAAGATCTCTCAGTAATAAAAGTACAAAAAGCTACTCTTTGCAATATGAAAAATTGAGGTATTGCATAAAGAGATATCCCGTCAGTGAAAAGTGTGCCTAAAAATGCTCACTGTTGGAAAAACAAGATATACAAAAGTAGTGCATAACAAATATACATTATGTGCATGACAAAATAAGTTAGCTACAAAAACACTGTACCGAAATTCAGCAGGTCATGTACAAAGGGAAAAAATTATTATTCAAAGCTACTTCTCAAACAGTGTTATTTCTTGTAATGGTAACCCATCTCACCTGTTCACTGGGTAGGATCGGCACAATAAGACACCCCAAGCCACCTACAAGCATTTAAAAAAATTAAAACGAATATTCCAACTATAATTATGTACTTCAGAGAAAAAGGTCCCTGACAGTCTACAAAAGAGCACTCTCCATTTGCATTTACTGTTGTCAATATTTGCAGGGATTTCATTAAAAGCAGCTCCCTTTCTCTACTTGACGAGTAGACAGCAAATGTCTCCATTTTGACCTTTGGAAAATAACAAGGTATGTTTTATGTGTTGAAAATCAAAACTGCTTCTCAAAGATAATTGGGGAGGGGGAAGGAAAGGGGAGGGAGAGGGCTTACAGAAGAGATTTGCTTTTTTTTGTCTGTAGCTGTGCTAAGGCAAGTCTTTGGTTTAAGAGTCTATGGTGGTACCATGCCAGTTCAGATTGCCAATGGACTGGGTTGTTTTGCACACTGCTACAAAATCATTTCTTAAGAACTGAACTCATTCACTCCTATCAATTTTCTCAGCTTTACAGAGCTCAAGTGACTATATCAAACTAACCAACACCACCCTGTGCTTTAGCTTTAACATCTACTGTGTTCTCACTTATATGGTTCAAACAACCCATGCATTTCTCAGCAAGTTGGTACATTAGAGCCCTGGAATTCTTTATTTTCTGTGCTAAGTTCCAAAAAGAATTATTTATTGAGATTTTCTTACTTGCTCTCTGCTGAAAGACAAGCATATTCTTCTTTGCCAATATGCAATGCATATTCATTCAACCAACAGTGCATAACATCCCTGGAAACAAACTTCACTTTGTCCCTCTTATGCTTTTGATGATCCAATTTCATTCGGAGATTAAAACACATTTACATCCCAGAGTAAGCCCAGTAAGTAGCCAAATTTTGATCTGTGTGGTTAGAATGAATTACTAGTGTCTTAGAGGCGGGTGGGGGAGGTGGGAATCAAAATCATAATCTTGAGGTATATCTTTAGGTTCTTGTATTTCACGTCAAAATGGAGAGCAAAGGCTGGCCCCTGATTAACATTAGTAAATTAGGATATAGAGTTCTATATAACCATCAAAAATAAAATCTATACATTTGTTCTTCAGGAGAGGACATGCCAGTTCACTAGTTGTCATTACTTTAGCTTTGGTAGGATTTCTAGGGCTGTATTCTGATAATGAAGTTTCTTCTTTAAAAATAATAATAATAATAATATAACAACAACAACAACAACAAAGAATAAGTGCACTCCCCACCCACCCCCAGTAGTAAATTGACCCAGGATTTACATTCAGGAACTTTTAAAATGTGATTGCTTGGATGAAGAACACAGATCTAAGCTCTGCCTACTCAATTAGTAAAAGTTTGAATGTGGTGGGAAGTCGGAGGCACGGTGAGAAACACGTACTGTGCTAAAAAAATAGCTTCGGAACCCTTAAATAAAACATTTAACTTAATGCTGCTTTAAACCTTGCTCATGCATTTTTGTTGCTTTAAACATGCTCTTTCCTGTTACTAGGTTAACGGCTAACTGTTTCCATTGCTATAAAATCATAGGCGGCAAGAAAACAGGCTTCCCAGAGGTTTGGGCAGGGAAGGGGAGAAGGAAGGGTGGGTTGGACAAAGTGTCAGAATAGATTCATAGTGTTCCTATCTCATGATTACTTTTCATAAAAGTATTCTATTGATTTTGTTATTAGCAATAATTTAATTAAAAAACAAAATACTCTATTGTTTCATTTCTCTTCTCTTAATATTGTTCTCTCTTCCTTCAAGAAAAGATAGCAGGAAAGCAGTGTCCCCCTGGGTAACTAAAGGTAAGAGAACCTGGTTTCCATGCACTGTGTTATCCATATGAATAGCAGTTCCCAATACAGTTTAATGACAAGATTCTACAAAATACCTATATGATTATAGGTCATTCTTTTGTTACACTATTGTTAAGTTACAGACTACAACAGTAGGACATGCTATCTTGAATAAGAGAGAAGAGGAAGGGAGGGCATGGGAATCAGGATAACAGAAGAGTGCACTTATTTTGAGGCCTGCATATGAAGACGCTGCAGGAATCACTTAATTCCAGCGGAATGAAATATGTCTCGGGCGATCTCCTCCCTCTTTCACCAGGGGCTTGTGGAATTCCCTGCCAGCACGTGAATGGATAGCAGCCCAGCAATATTCACAGTAATACTGCAGACAGGTAACGTTAGCACAGAAAAATGGAGCGAATTTTCCACCACAACGGGCCCCCTGACATTCATCACACAGCTGATCATCCAAGACATATGGCTTAACTTCCACCTGTGTTAAAAGAAGGAGAGAGAAAGTTTACACTGCTAGAGTGTCTTCTGTGTAGATTACTGCAATCTAACTGTTAATACAGATGCCTCAATGAATATTCCACTGTGCCTTAAGAAAACCTCAATTGGAGCAGAGCAAGGATCCAACTAGCCGGGCATCCTGTTGCCAGCAATGGATAACCAGATACCTCCAAGAAACCTACAAACAGGACAGGAAAGCTATAGCTTTCCCTTGTTATATGTCCACCAGTAATTTGGTTTTCCTAAGTTGTTTATTAATTATGAAGGTTATTTTATTACTATTATTAAAATTTGTATACTGTCCTATACCTGTAGGTCTCTGAATGTGGAGTGTGACACAGTGGTCAGAGTTCTAGACTAGATCCTCAGAGAGATGGTTTCAAATTTCCACTGAGGCATAAAGCTTACTGAGTAATTGTGCACAAGTCATCTTCTTTGAGTCTAACCTAGCTCACAGGGATGCTGTGAGGATAAAATTGAGGGTGCGAGAGAGGAAGCATATATGTTGCCCTGAGATCCTTGGAGGAAGAGCAGGGTGAAAATACAACTGCTACTGCTATTATTATTATTAATAAAAAATATTTTACTAATTGATGCTTAAAGTTATCTATCAATTTGCCGAACCCTCTTTTAAAGCAATCCAGGCTAGTGGTCATCACCATATCTTTGGCAGCATGCAAACCTACAGAAGTTTCCCCCCCCAGTAATTCTTAGGATGCTTGCACATGTTAAGAATTTGTTTCGTTTTATACAAGACACACCATTATGTAAGTGATGTGTAAGGCAATAATTTGGCAAGGGAGAAAGGAAAGGGGATTTTGATTGTGCTGAAATGTTTGATCGAAGTATCATATTGGGGGAGTTCTGTGTTGCTGGTTAAAAAAGTATTTGTTCCTAACTGGCAGCATGTCAAGTCAATTTTGAACATGTGAAAGTATTTTTTAATTAAAGATACTGAGGTGCCCCATAAGAACAAGTGATTGAGGAGTTTTGCTGAAATAAAACCATTTAATATTTGCTTAAGCCTCACTACTGGGAAGAGACCATGGAAACAACACAAGAAGGGATATCTGTGATTGGATCTCTCCAGGATTGTTGGTTTTATTTTAAAAGGCCTGATTTGGATCTGAAATACAGCACAGGGAAAAAAGGCTTTAATTCTCCCCCCACCCCCACTTTCTTAATAGCTATGGAGTGGAGTGGGGGGGCAATTTGGATTATTTGCCATGCAGAGCAAAACATACAGTAACCATATGTCAGGCTGATGGTAGTATTAGGGGGACAATCTGAAGTGGGAAAAGGAAGGAAATTGGTCTTACCATGAATTTCTGTTTGAAGAGTGGACTGGCAGACATTCGGTTAACAGGATAATTCCTCTAGTTAACGAATGTCCGCCAGTCCACTCATGCAAATAGGGAGGGGAAGAGATGCTTAAAAAAACCAATGTTCCCTCCACTGCCTGATTCAGTTCCTTCCACCAACTAAATTTACTATTAAAAGGGGGGTCAGTCCAATCATGGATCTTGTGTCATCTTGTCTTTTTGCACCGTTTCAAGGATTTTAAAAATATTTGAATGTTGAACAGCACTGTTTCCTAACCAATGTTAAGAAGTGTGAATAAACAACTCCTTATTTCATTGAATATGTTTTAGACAGAAATATATTTCAGAGGCTGTAGTGATATTTGCTTTAAATTGAGTTTTATAAAAACGTGTGTGTGTGTGTGTGTGTGTGTGGTTGAGAGAACATTAAATGCTTACAAATGTCAAAGTCTAGATTTTCACACAAAAAGAGAGGCACAACATGATCCAGATATCTTCACTGACTACAGTACACACTGATTGTCTGGATTTGCCAAACAAATGGGTGTCACTGCTATCACCAACTGTGGTAGCCCCTACTGAAGGGGTCTAAATTTAGATTTCCTCCCTCGGGGGGGGGGACTCCTCTTAGATGACTGGTGCTGTTAAAACTGACAGTGGCTGCATAGGAAGCTGTCTTGCAAATCTGGCTTGTTTGGAAGTCATTAGTCATAGTCCCTGCTTCACATGTAACAGGAAACCATGGTCTGTTTTTGCCACTCATGTGAAGAGTAGAACAAAGTGACAGCAAAGGACATATCCTAGTTTATTAAATTGGGATCTGATTGTGCAAAAGTGGCGAGTTTGACTTGCATCTGTGGCTCCATTCCCCAAGGGGGAAGTGCACACACAGATGCAGATTCTGGACATGGAAATCCAGCAAGGGGGACGGCTTTTCTGCAAAGGGGACTCAGTCTAGAAAGGATCTGCATATGCCTAAATCTGCTGGAGGACATGGACAGGAATGTTTTCATTTCCTGCTCAGATTTCAGGTACCTTTTGCTAGCAACAGTAAATCTAACCTGTATGCCATTACTGTGTATGAGAAATTGAAACATGACAGCTCTTCTAAACTCGGAGAAGGACCAGCCACCACAAATCAATATGCACAATTTGCTTTTTCTCCCTAAAAATCCAATCAAGTAAATCATGGTTTGCAAATTGCTGAGTCACAAAACCCCGGAAGAAAACATGTAAAATGGCTAAGAAACAGTAAAACAATACAACAGTGACAGAGCTGGCTCACAAGATCTTACACCACAACAAAATACTGCCTGTTCCTTAATCCTAACTCTTTCTTCCTCACCATGTGAATGACACAGCACAATGAAAATATCAGAAAATACCTGTCCGACATTAACCCGGAAGTAACCGCAAGGGTGGCTGAGTTTTTATCAATAGTATCTCTCAGGGTGGTGAATAGCACTATTTAGCAGGAAGAAACTCCAACGAAAATTCTCATTATTACATATTTTTACATGGCTGTTTATTTGTATATATTTTAAAATTTTATATGTGGATGTTATAATGGCCTATATTTGTAATGCCTAATAAAGGTTTGGCGAATGAAGGAAGGATGACAATGAGCTACGTACAGGGAAATATGGACATTTGTGGCAAAGCTATTTTTGCTTTTGTTGGCATGTGCTGTGAACATATGTTATTAAGAAGCCAGCACTAACATCAACATAAAATGATGATTGCATATTGTTGCTGTGTAACCTGCACTGAATTAAAACAGGACTCAGAGAGACTCACACAAATTCTGTAGAAATGAATGCAAATAGTGCAGCAGTTTGCATTCTACTGTCATAAACCAATTGACCATTCTACTTCCAGCACATAGGCAGGGGTGAAAAAGAGGCCAACAGCAAAGCAAGTCATGCAGAGGTAACAGGATAACATTAGGAAGACAGGCTTATGCTGTGCTACAGGAAATTTCTCTGAAGGGAACAACAGTTTTAGAAGGTGCCAGAAGGCATTAAAAAGCCAATGTTAAACTAGATCCCCCCACCTCCGGATCTCTGGGATGATGGAGGGGCTTTGTGGTATAGCTTTTTTGTGTGTGGTATGGCTTTTTTATGCATGTATGCTAGGAATACAGGGAAGAGAATATTTTCCATTTAATACAACATTTTCACCTGCCACACACGGGCACTTATATGGAAATAAACCCATGAAATAATGCTGAGTAATACACAGAATGTGCTCTAGCCCTTACCCGTTTATCTATCTCTCCATGTTGCAGCTGAACAAAGCGGGCACTGATAGCAGCTATGTAACTCTGTTGATTAGAAAATGCAACACGCCCAGCTCCTTTTGGGTACTTCAGCTCAGGATCTGTGTCAATTCCAGCATAGCAAACTCCTCCATACAGCCGGTCCATTATCATTGCAAGCTCCACTAAAATAAAGTAGTAACAAACGATTTACCCAGATATTTTATATACATAACTTCTCTTCTAGACCCTGGGCAAAAGCATGTTTATTTGTACTCTTCTATCTGGAAATAATTGGAGTGTCAGCAAAAGTTAAATTTAGCAAGCACTGGCATACTTCTACAATAGAAATAAGGACACAATGTTCTCTCACAGCAGTAAGGCAGCTTGGATAGAATCAACGAGCCACTGCACTTGTTTTTGCATACCATACCTGCCCGTAAGGGTCGTGGAACTCCTCCTACAAAAATGGTTTTCCGCGGGTCTAGAGGCTGTGAGCCATCCATCACAAAGTCACTATCACTAAGATTCCAAGGCCGGATTTGAACCTACAAGCAGAAGATAAGACTTTACCACTCACAATTCAAGTTGACAGTCGAATGATCCCACCACCACCCTGCCCTGCAGCATGCACATCATTAAGATGCTACAACAACAGTGTTTCCTGCATGTCACATCCATGGGATTTTAGAGGCTACTTTCCTAGCAATCATTCTTATCTAGTCAAGCAATAACAAAGCCAGGTTTCACATATGGAATTTCTGAAGCAGGAGCGCAATAGGCTACCAGGGTGGAGAGAGGGCACTCCTCAAGGAAGCAGCTTGCACAGTCCACACATCTGTCTAAGAAAGATGAACCACCATGTCCTTTACTCAGATATGGCTCAGTCATCACAACAAACCTCTGTCCACACATTAAATTATTCAGATGTTAAGGACTGAGGGGAGGGAGATGCACAGTGTGTGTGTGCGTGTGCGCGCACACACACACACAAGTGCATTACTTGTGACAAATGGGCTAGTCCTCAGCGTTTCCCTAGAACAGATAAAGAGCCACATCCAGCCAGTGGCCCGTACTCCTGCCATGCAGACCAACGATTATAGGTGGGTGGGGGTGCCCACCCATCAATCACCTGACATAATATGGCAACTGTAAAGCATCTTGCTGTAACCTCCAGTCAGCTGGTTGATAGTTATAGCAAGGCCCATTGAAGTCTATTTGCAGACATGTTTGGATTCATACTGAAGTGGGAGTTAGATCTCCGCTTGTGAGAAAATAGATTAAGTGGGTCATAGTATAGGAGGGTCTCTTTGGGGATGGGGCTATGCTGGAGATCAGATATGAAACATGTGGGATTTGGCCCCAAATCAGGTTAGTAAAGACTAGCCAAGTTTGGCCTAATGCCTGCTATTCTATATTCTGGAATAATTATCTCGACACCAACCCAAAGAAAAGTGCACATTTATTGAAAAATAATGGTAGTATGTGCTCACGTAGAAAGAAAGCACGTATTGCCAACCTATGCCTTGTGAAAATGTAGCACTTATGCACCCAATTTCTTTGTACATCTTCTTCCAAATTACACATACCTGACAATTCCACTTACCGGTTTGTCTTTAATTGTGGGACTGGAAACACACAGATAGAGTTTTCCATCCTCTTCAATACATGCATCAATCAAAGCCTGCACAGAGCTTTCATCTTGGAACAGCAAAAATGCATATCCTATGTAGATAAAGAAACAGAGGCAAGCGTTGCAAAAATTCTGTGAGATTCTGAGCGTTGAAGTTATCTACTTAGGCTCCACATAACCAAGATGAACGAATCCTTAGCCCATATTTGGGGAATATGAAGATTTTTGGAGAAGCAGTTGGAAAAGCTCTGATCTAAACAAATTGCTTTTATTAATAAGAGTGGGAGCAGGCTTCAAGAGCCAAAGCTTCCTACATTTCTTGGCCACAACTTCAATGGCAAACTCCCTATACAGTTGTATGTTGTAACACATAAGCTTTTGTCATTCAAAGTGAAAGATTTAAGTGGAACAAGGAACAGGACGTGAGGGGAGAGAAGTTAAAGCAAAGATGGAGAACCTATGGCTCTCTAGGAATGGTATTCAACTAAGTTTAATTCAAACTGGGCTTGTTAAAATAAATGGGCATAACTTAGTCAAGTTGATTAATTTCAGTGAATCTACTCTGAGTAAAATGTAGATGAACACCCCCCCCCAGATGTTGGGCTACAGCTCCTATTATCCCTGACCACTGGCTATGCTAACGGGGGGCTAATGACAGTTGGAGTCCAGTAGCATTTGGAGGGCCACAGATTCCCTGTTTCTCGATTAAATAAACCAAGTAATTTACTGAATGGGAGCAGAAATAAAAATAATCTTAAACTATGACGAAATAGAGCACTCTTATCTACAGCCCATGCAAGAAGATCAAATGCATCCATTCTTAAGGAAATTAGCGCTGAGTGTTCACTGGAAGGACAGATCGTGAAGCTGAGGCTCCAATACTTTGGCCACCTCATGAGAAGAGAAGACTCCCTGGAGAAGACCCTGATGTTGGGAAAGATGGAGGGCACAAGGAGAAGGGGACGACAGAGAACGAGATGGTTGGACAGTGTTCTCAAAGCTACAAACATGAGTCTGACCAAACTGCGGGAGGCAGTGGAAGACAGGAGCGCCTGGCGTGCTCTGGTCCATGGGGTCACGAAGAGTCGGACACGACTAAACGACTAAACAACAACAAATCTACAGCCCAACTAAAGTATTCAAAGTACAACAGGGTCTTAGAGCAATAGCAGCAATGAAGAACAATTTCAAACAAACAAAAGGTACAGAGAAGAATACTAAAAAAATAATAATATCCATAATCTGCAACTTTACTGTGCCCACATAATAGGAAAATATTGTGTATCTTAGTGGATTGTGTTGGGCTTGAACCAAGAGAGCCAGGTTCAAATCCCAGCTCAGTTGTGAAGTTCAATAGGTGAAACAAGATGTCACCAGATCACAGTTAACCTGCGCTCTCCTGAGGAAGGACGGGACACAAAATGTAACTTATAAAATACTAAGTGTTACCTTTAGGAGGAAAATAGGACTTGCTTTCAGCCTTGTGAGGCCAATCCACAATCAAAGGGCCAAAGCGGCGAAAGCTAGCGGTGATCTCATCTGCAGGTCAGAGGGAAAAGCAAGTATTAAAACACCACATCATACAGTGATTTCAGGTTAAGTTGGTAATAACACTTTGGTCTAACCTACAAGTATTTTCTGTAATGCTAACAGACAGAGAGCGGATGATATTTTTATTGTTTAAAGGGAAGGTTTGACAAGTCAAAACATATGTCTAATAATGAAGAAAACAGTTCAGATACTGAAGCTGTGTGTTTTAGATTACAAATAAAGATTTGCAGCAAGCCACTCAAAGGAGCGAAATCACTGAACCTAAACAGCTACCAGATCCTAGCTTCAGGCATTCTCCCACTGCTAGCGTGCAGAGTCTGAATCAGAGTGCTGAGCAGTCTGCTCTGCAAGCTGCTTTGCAAAAGGCTGGGAGAAAGAGAAAAGAATATCACACGGTCTAGTCATGCCTGCTCACATCACATGCTTATGCCACATCTGTGCACATTATCTGAGCTTGACCTCCGACTAACTTCAGCAGGGCTTCTAGAAAGCAGTTATGTAATAGCCATAGAGACGAGGATGCAGACGGTATGCACAGAACACATTAACAGAAAGCAATTGCTGCAGCCATTTCAAAGCCTCCTTCCATTTCAAAATTCAGATCAGGTGACTTACATACTGGCTAATATTACACAAATCTAACTACTGTACAACTCATGCTAACAACAGCAGATAGAGAATTCTTAAAGTCAGTGTAATTTTAAAACAAACTCATAATTACAGCTATTTAAAGGAAGAAAATTTCGTGTTTCTCTATAACACAGTATCTGAATAAATAAAATATATGTGCTCTACCCACTTCCATTCATTTACTATTTTCCTTAAATCCCTCTCAAACTATCCTCTGGATTTCAACATGTGTCAGGATTTCTTTTTACCAAAAGCAAATGATCTCTGACCCAGTCACAAGCCTCCCAGATACTTTCATGTGCATGCAAGCAACAGAGGTGCTAAAGAGATATTGGGACATTGCTTGCAACTTACTAAGAACTGTTTTTCCAAATTAACAGAATTTGAAAATAGTATTTTAGGGTTAGATATCCCAAATAAAGTCATGTAAATTATTATTGTTAAAAATGAGGCATTATTTTGTTCTTATAACTAATTACCTAGAGGGATCTATTATTTATTTATTATCAACTAACTGCCTTCTACACAAACATTTCAAGGCAATGCACAATAATAGCAAAAAGCATTTAAAAACAACATATATATTTTAAAAACCAAAACCAACCATGAACAATACAAAATAGATACCCATGGCAGAGAAACTCATCCATGGTTGTCCATCTACTTAAACCCTGTTTTCAAATGAAAGCCTATACTGCAATAACTCTCACCCTATTAGGCACACCCCCAACAGTGTTCATTATGCTTAAAACAGATTTGAGGTGTAGGAATAATTCATTCCCCCTGTGAAATATACAGTGGTTACAAAAAGGCAGTGCCTTGTGTATTGCTCCCTAAAACAATCGAAGCACTGCACTCCACTTCTAAGTCAGACACTGATCTAAATTTGTGCCTGTATTAATGGCTTTAACATAAAGTCTTAAGCACAGCCATCTCCAAAATAAAAGACCTTCATAAAGAGTTTTATGATGTCATTCAACATAATATGCAACTAACGGAACTAGATGGAAAGAAAACCTATCGCATGAGCTGTCCAGCTCATAACTCCTTATCCTCACAGTTCATAACCCAGCAGCTTGCATATTTGGCAGCCCATAGCTTAGGTAATTATTTTCACAGCCCCCCAAAAATTGCACATAGCCAAGACATGAGGGTCCACCCCTCCCACGTGTCACAATTAAGCCTTGGCCCTTATGGTTAATGTGGGTATTCTTGGCTATACTGATGTCCAAGTATACCTTCATCAATATCAGGTGGCAAACCACCTACAAACACCTTGCGGGAGTACCGTTCCACTCGCTCGCCATTCTGGTGGGAAAAGCAGTGTGGTGATCCCAAGCCACTATGGAGCGTCTGATCCCCACGTCCATCATCCAAAAACCCATCTTCCATTGGGAACAGTGAAGACTGACCTACAATGGAAAAGAGGGGGGAAATGCAAAACATACTAACAGAAGAAAATTCTATTTGGATAGATACAATTATTTCATTAATATTAACTGCTACATCAGACATGTCAGAGCATTTTCCCTTCTGCGTACATAATTAACAGTAACATTAACTACATGTCTTTCTTACTCCTACAGCCTGACCTCTTGGGTATACGAAGATGCCCTGTTAATACTATCTATGAAACAAAATAGGAAAACTTCATTTTAATATTATTTATTAATTCAATATTTTTTTCTGTCAACTGTTATGCAGGCAGCTCAAGGTAATGTACCATAATATAATACAAGCACAATCCCCCAATTCTCTTCTCAACACACACCAAATTGAATATTTTTCAAACATATGCTGCAAATAAATGCTTTATCAAATATATTAAGAATAATTTTGGTGCCTTTCCCCAATATCGTATGAAGAATGCTGTGGAATTGCAAGTTGCAAGATTTCAGCTACCCCCATATAACTGCATAGTTCAGATGAAGTGAAATACCCCACATCTAATTTACACTTTAATCTCAGAGACTTGAAATCATGAACAGTCACAATGTGACAGCAGTAGTAAAATATCCTACCAAACAAATACTCCCCTCCCCAAATTTGAAATTCTTTAGCCCTAGTTTTTACTGACACAGTAAACCAACTAATGCTGTAACTCTTCCTGGAAGTATGAGTTTCATAGGTCTCATAATGCTTGGCATACGGCATCACATAATTGTTAGGTTATTAGACTAGTGCTGGGAAGACCTTGGAGCAGTCTCTCTCTCTTAGCCTAACCTACCTCACAAGGCTGCTTTGAGGATAAAATGGGGAAGGAATAACAATGCATGCCTCATTGAACTTCAGGAGGAAAGGCAGAATATATACTTAATACTTGCCCCTCAACCTTGAAGCAAGTATTACTGTCACCCCTGAACTCTTCTTCAGCTCAGGTTTTATTCTGATCTATAGAATAATACCTCTTCCATCCAATCAGACTCCCAAACTTCTACGCACTCATTCCCTTCTTACCCACTAGCCTATTCCCAAACTTCCTCCAGTGAGCAGCCAGCCAAATTTATTTGCAAAAACCACTGGTCATCACAAAAGTATAGAAATACACCACCAAAATGAATATTGACCTCAAAAATTATTGGGGACCTTCCCTTCATCCCCAATGGTGGTATCAGCAAGGAAAGAAGGTTTCCTTCTTCTACCTTCGTAGGTACCACAATTAACCCTGGAAAATCATTTTTTCCAGTGCCTACCAACATTGTTGTTGGGAAAACTACATTTCCCTGAACTGATTTTGGTATGAGAAGGAGGGAAAGGAAGAGTGAGACGCCCCTCCTTTGCTTTTCCCTGCAGCTTGCTACCACTACTGCCTGAGCCAGAACACCACTAGTAGATGAGTAAAATCCAGTAAACAAAGGGTAGTTGGCTTAGAAATAAACTGGTTACTTCTCAACTTATTTCCTAGCCAACTTGAAACAAGTTGAGGCTCATTCATCAGTCTTGGCTGTGCCACTACATAAGAGAAGTAAGAACTTATGCAATTGTGTGTTTTTCCATATAAGAAAAGTTCCCACACATATAAGATTAGCATGTCAGGGGGAAAGGTTATAGCCTAGCCTTACCCCTAATATGCCAGCTTTCAATGTACAGTGATGTTTTTTGCAGAGGAAGCATTTGGTTCTGTGACTCTTCACTCTTTCAGACTGAAGTGATATAGTCCAGGTACAGGTGTATCACCACAGACAGATGTAGACTCTAGGTGGTTTTGTTTCCTAATAGTAACCAGTACCTTGATGTTATACAAGATTAATGGATTATCTAGGAAAGCCATGTTTCAAGAATCATTCTGCTATTAATTATGTAGGGGTCTCCTTGCTATGGTACTTACTGTATATGTTACTGCGAAAGTGGTACTTTGTTTCATACTGCTTAACATTCATATAGACAAAACTGATCACTTTAGCACCTGACTTCCTGTATCATTTCAAGACAGGCTGGAAACTTGTGTTTCTGGCTAGTGTTCTAGTTTCTTTTAAATTAACATTCACACGGAAGGAAAAAAATGTGTTACAATCCCTTTTTGATGAAACATCACAGTGCAGTTTTATTTAGAGTACACCAAGATGGTTGAAAACATTGTTCCTTATATACTGAATATGGCAAGCTACACATATTGTCAACGGCACTGTCATGCTTTCCTCTATGTGATCATTCAACAAGGGCAGCAACAGGAATGTCATAGGTTCCTTTTGACATGGGAAGTGGCAACTCTAAGGTTCTTGGCTGAAGGGCTAAAGGACAGATCAGTGTAAGAAGATCTGTCTCCTCCTCTCAAACGCCTCACCTCTCTGATCAAGGGGTGCCCCCAGAAGTCAAACATGTCAATAAAATCTGAGTCACTAATAAACAGTGAACCAGTTTACCACAACCTATCAAAAAAATACAACTCCTGTTTAGAAGATGAGCACAACAATATTAATCCCATTATCATTACCAGCATTCTAGAACATTTGCTTTCTAATGTAATGATCTGAAACCACTGAAAGGGATGAATTCTCTTTGAAAACTAAATTTGCAGACCCTTTTCCTGGACTACATATAGCCACTCTTCCTTTTCTTTAGTATTAACTCTCCTTACTACTCTGTTCTTATTGCAGAAATGCTTCCCTCACCCCAAGCAAGAAAGTGTTGAAGAAGCTAAGCAAAGTGGCATGTATTCATGGTTATTTACTCAACATGCAAGTTCAGAGGATGAAGTCCGAGCAATGCAGTTCCCTCATTCCACAAAGCACCTAAGTGACTTAATTGCCAGGATCCATTTTCACAAATGACATGAAACTCCCCCCAACTTCAAATTATGATTGCTAGTGCCCCCAACCCAAGCTAGGGAAGTTTTTAGTGTGTGATGTATTGTGCTTTTACTATTTTTTGTTGGGAGCTGCCCAGAGTGGCTGGGGCAATCCAGTCAGATGGATGGCATATTATTATTATTATTATTATTATTATTATTAAGCAGCTGAGGAGCTCTTCAAAACACACAATTACAGTTGTAAGGCTCCAGGCACCTCTCAGACACAGAGATTTTTAGCTTGTTCACAGGAGAGAACCAGAAAAGCAATCTGATTCCACAAGGGCACACTATTTAAGAGGCAGTATTAAATCACCCATGTCAGAGTACATATGATAACCATTGTCTTTTTCCTATTACAGTGCATCATGGCCAAAGTCACCTTTGAAAAATAGACCTGGAGCCCAAGTCACTTAGGTGCTTTTCCAAGCAACAACCACCCACACCCACACATAAGGTCAGACCTACACTGTAGTAACACTGATTGACGCCTCCTCATCCCCATGACTCAGTGTAACTATCCTAATTCTGCCTAGGTAGTCTTAATTTTGGGAGCCACTACATTAAGTTCCTAAAGGTTACCACAGCATGCAAATTGAGGAAGCCTGGCTTTTTTTATAAAAAAAAACTGCTTCCAGTCCTCCTTACAGAAGCAGATTGTGCATTAGCTGTGCCATGAGACATTTTAAACATCAGAAAATTAAAGAGGAATGTTGTTACCTCGCCTTCTCCCATATGTCCTTGCTGCATGTCAAATGAGAAGAAAAACAGCCTTTCAAACATTGTTAAATATATATATATTGTTTCACCTCCCTTATGATTGCTCAGTGGTTCTTAGGCTTTAATGCGCTGCAGACCACATAAGAAACCTTCCACCCATACCCACATCTTTTGTCACTGGGTTCACAACAACATGACAGAAGCTAGCAAAGAGATCTCATTTTGAAAACTCACTCTTTAGCTGCTTTGTGCTCACAAGGGCACCCTGCAGATCTGCAACTTTATTAGTAGTGACTGTTTCTCTCATGTTGCTAGGACACTGCATCTTTCGACTTCAGTTCTAGCATTCTGTGTGTTTCCTCAATATCATGACATTTGGTTACAAGGTACCACCCTCCCCAGTGAAAAATTTACACAGGAAAAACTGACAGGACCATACAAACACCATGACATCAAAGACAGGAAGGTCAATGTCTAAGGGCCTACAACTCCCAGTTTAGCCCCACATCTAGCAAGTCACTTCTAAGCACATGATCAATTGGGATAAACCAATGCAGGACTCTGTAAATTAGGTATGAGGCATCAAAACTGGTTGCTTTCTACCTATATCTATTGCACTCCCTCTGTTATTTGTCAGCTTTGGCCATCGAGAATAAATCGCTCCAATACTCTAGCTTCTCAATGCTGCCAGTGAAGAAGAAAAATACAGCTATGCTATAGCTTTTCGAGTTAAAAAGCTTCACACATCAACAAGCACCTCATGCACAGAGCAGCAACCAGCAACGTTCTTTTTTACCTATTAAACCCAGAAACAAGATTACATCCCCCTAATTTCCAGAACAAGGGATAGTCCATTAGGCAGGGGGCATCATATGTCACATTATATCGTATTCAACACTTAGTATTAGGAACATACAGCAAAGCTTACAACCCACTATTTAAGAACCACTTGTATTGACTCTGAGGGTTCAGGCATTTCATCAACAAAAAATAGAAAATATGAACCCTGCAAAACATTTGTTTTTGTTTTCCTAAAAGATTTGTTACTTTTGTTCCCGATATCTCCACTCCCAACACGTTTACTTGACCAACTCTCTCCACAGAACAGAGCTTTTGCCAGTGGCTCTTCTCGCCTGTATCCTCTCTTCACTCCTTTCAAACAAATTAAAATACCCCTCAGTCACACAGGGTCTGATGAGGCAAAACTGGCAGCATGTTCAGAGGGGCTGGAGCTAGAAAGGGGTGATAACTGTACAGTGGACAGGAGAATTCAACACTCAGTATCAACATACTGGAAAGGAAGGTCTTGACAATAATTCCTGCTAAACATCAAGTATTTCATTGTTTATAAAACCAGAAAGGCCTAGGGTGTTTCTGTAATTACTGAAGTAAAAAATCTAGCTACACTACTCTGCCTTGTGTTTGCCTGACAGAGCCTCAAGTGTTTTCAGAGCATTCCCTGCCTAAAAAGCTATAAAATTCTGCTTGTGGTCTATAACTGGCTAACAAAACCAAATATACAACACAACTTTCCTTGTTTGGTACACTGACGAGCTGGTCAACATAGCTGCAATTCCTAGTGAGGCCCATGAGAGTGATGCTGAATTGGCAGACTCCCTGTTCTGTCACTTATGTGTCACAAGGAGTCTGGTTTTGACATAAATGGTACCAAGAAAATAATACAGACTTGCAGTAGGTTTTCCTGGTGCAGATTTCCAAGCTGTCTCTAACACAGATTTCTCACAGAAACCACAGCCAAACACTACAACTTTAAAAACTCCTTTAAATATATGTAGACCTATTCATGTATGTATTGAAATACAGTGACATTTGTGTCATCCACATTTATATTATCTAGACAATGCTATAGTGATTCTCAAAACATTCCTGAGATGAAGATGATGTTATCCCTGTATCATATATTTCAAAAGGTTTTAGATGTTTCTGACTCAAGTACAGACTGAAGTTTCAGCTAGAGGCAGAGCTCAAGTGCATTGCCCCAGTGGTAATCTTCACAGGGTGCTAATGTTTGACAGATTAAGACAGGGGTGGGAAAGCTCAGGCTGCAGGGCAAATTAGGCCTGCTGTGGTCCTAATTCGGCCCACAAGACCCATTTGAATGGGCTGTGGCGCATAATGTGCTCCCAATTGTTCTTCTGTAAAAGGGGTTTGCATTCAGTGCCTTTAAATTTGATGCCAAAGGAAAGCCCTAATGGGATTAGTTCCATTTGGAAGCTCCTGAGTGGAGCCATCCCTGCTTAAAGTGGGGCTTGCATTGAGCACTGAATTTAAACTCAGCACTGAAAACAAGCCCTGCTTTAATCAGCTCCACTCAGGAGCTCCATATCAGAGTCCCTGAGCAGAGCAGATCCCTGCTGAAAGTGGGACTTGTATTCAGCACTGAATTTAAACTAAACTGTGCCTTGAAATTCAAGCCATGGCTCCAAAGGAAGAATTAAGAGGGCACTTAAAAGTATTTGCCAAATTCTTCCTTTGAAAGTGATATCACACACCTGATATCACCCAATGTCATCTAAGTGTCACGGGTGGTCCCACCTACCTGTCAAAAGTAATAAGCAGTGGGTGGGCCACTTCTGGATCTAGCCTAGCAAAAGATTCCCGCACTGTGGCACTGGATGATCCTTGTGGTCCCTTCCAACTCTACAGTTCTATGATTCTATAGCCACCCTATTTTCTGAAGCATTTTCCAGTATTTTTGTTACATACTTGAGAGAAGTCTACTACTTTATAAGTGCCCCAGTTCACTTCACATAAAATATGCCTTTCATCAAAGGAGCCAAAAAGCAGAGAAAGATTGCTTCTAAAACCTTTATAGAAAATTTTTGTCTGGATGAAAATCAAGTGATTTTAGTGCCAATTTACACAGCTTCCTTTGTTGACAAACCTAACTTTCATTGCTAGATTTCCCTCAATCCTAATTTGAAACTACACGAATGGCTCACAGCTGGGGAAATAGTCTGTAACTTCATCCCCAACCCCATTCACTGTGCCAGAAAACTGCAATCCTGTTATACTTATTGTTAAAAAATTCATTTACCTCTCTGAATCTCTGTAATGAAGAACACTTTATTATCTGCCCACTGTGGAAGCAGAACCATTATAAGAATATTTATAGACATATATTTGTTAGTATCTGAAGGTAGCTGCCTTTCCAAAAGAAAGTCATTATCACTGCATCCAGGTATTAACTGTAATGGGTACAGAGTTCTAGAATAGAATTTGAGAAACTGATGTTTCTGCTAACCATTCCAAAAGTAGTGATAACTCCCATTCCAGCTTCTACTCTTCATTTATCTAGGACCAACAATTAAAGGCCTGTATGGAAGGAAGAACTGACACGATCCCTGTTTGTAGGGCTGGCTCTGGATACAACAGACAGGCGAGAGATGAAAGATGATAATAGTTTGACCAACACATGGAGGGTGGGGGGAGATAAAGTTGAGGCAGCAGACACAGTACAGGAAAACATGAGAGTAGGATGGTCCTGCTTTGCAGGAGAAGCAGCTTCTGCGGAAAGGAGAACTTTGATAGAAGGCAAGGATGACTGTCATAGGCAGTTGGAGCTCACTTCCCCAAAACGTTACCTGAAACATTATGTAATACTACACCCATCAATGCTGTTACACCAATATTTCCTGCTTCAAACAAAGTGTAAAAGGAAATACGTGTGGCATACAACACCTGCCTAAACATGCCAAGGAGCCCCAACTGGGCCACATCTCCCCAATATATTTGGAGGAAGTGTTCTGCTTGCATAAGTCCCCAAGTCTGATCCCTACCATACACAATTCAAAAGAATTCCAGATATCAAGAGGTGGGAAAACTGCCTGCCTCAGACATCAGTAAGCCAGTGCTGCTGGAGTGACAAATACAAATGAGGTTGACCAATGGTCTGCTTCCGTAAGGCAGCTTCATTTGTTCACAAACTGTTAAGGGTGTGTGCTGGGCACACTGTAAGAACAAAAGAAGAGCCTTGCCTGGTCAAATCAAAAGCTTATGTACTCTGACATTCTGTTCTCAAGATGGCCAACCAGATGCCTATGGGAAACAATTGTGTATCCCAAGGAAAGATGATTACTCTGTAAAGTGTGGAGCTGCTTGTGATTTGAAGTTTTTGAGGTCAAGGGAATGATGATTAAACTGACAAAAGAAACTATAAAACCACCAAGAACCATTCAATCAAGCAAAAATCTATAGGATCTCATATTTACCTGCTAACAGTTTACTGATTCCCATTACGTTTCCATTTTTCAACACTATTTACATACCAAAGTGGCAACACATTTGTTGTTAAACCAAAAATTCCTGTACAGTTTATTCTGTAATTACTTTCATAAATTTTGTAAACTAGGGAACATAAGCTAAAATGCTTAACCTGATCTACTAGAATGCAAGAAAAGAACGGCCTAAGTGGATCACAGCAACAATGATCCATCTAATCCAGCACTTTGCAACTGGTCAGATGCCATAGGAAAGTTCACAAGCAGATCATGAAGACGACAACCACCCCATATTTGTTAAGCAGATAGAATACCCATTTTTCATTAGTTACTACTGCTAATAGTCATTGATGTATCTAATCTCCATTAACTTGTCTAGACCTTTAAAAGAGAGAGAGAGCAAGAGAACCATCTAAGCTAGGAGCCTTCATCACATATTGAAACAATGAATGCTCTAAGCTGAAATGTGTGCTAAGAAACAGTTTCTCTGAACCTACCAGCAAACTTTTTCTTCCAAACTTCAGCTGAAATACCCCAGTGCTTGCTGGGCAGCAGTCACAGGAGCAGTCCTTATGAGGCCTGTCAGGCCCCGCCCCAGGCCAGGTGCAGAGAGGTATCAAAAGCCAAGCCTCTAAAGGTCATTAGCACTTTACTAAAGCTCAGGAAACTACTGGGATCCAACAGGTGGTTCAAATTGGTGTGTGTTCCTGGTGGCTGATGTTGCATATTGACCTAAGATTTTCAATGTGCTTCTATACTCTAAATTTTGAGTACAGTACTCGAAAATCACCCAGTTACAAATTAAGCCCACTATCAACCATAAATACTGAGAATCTTGATGGTATTGAATTAGCGTCTGTACTTTGTAGTCAATTGTAGGCAAAATTGTTCCTGGGGCAGCTACAATTAGAGAGAACAAAGAATAACTCAAGCAGTAAGGAATTTGCTAGCATCACTGTATTGCTCTGATCTGAGTGAAAGAAACCTACATGCTACAACATAAAATATCCAACACAAATTTTGCTTAACCTGGTCCAGCATTTAAGAACAGCAAATAAAGTTCCGATCCCTCAAATTCATTCATGACAAATTGTCCAAAACCCTTCTTACATTTACAGCATCAGAAGAGAAAGATCAATTCATGCATGGGACACTAATGTGAGAAAGTGGCTCATGTGCAGGTAATGTGAATGAGATTAGCTCACATGAAGTTAATGTAAGAAATAGCAATGACAAAGCGGTTGGAAGGGCTAGATTGTAAAATACCTGAAGTTTGAGGTATATTACAAAACAGAACCCAAATTATTTATAAAAGAAAAAAACAATAAATCCAGCCACAGTTACAACCTTTAAGTAACAACCTGTTTGTAATTTCTCTGGGTAGCAGTCTGATTAGGGAACTTTACTTATAAAATCAGTAACTTTATTCAGGGTGGCTGTAAACACACTGTTCAGATTACCAAAAATATTAAGTCTTATATGCATATGCACCATACAAACTTGCATAGGTTTTCACAATATCAGACAGACATTATGGAATGGTTTATTTCTAAGATGGCCGATTCTCAGGAAATAAAAATAAGAAAAGTCACTTTTTTAAAATAAAATAAAATTAAATGAGCCAAGAAATGTTGAATGGCAAAATAAAATACTTGCAAAACAATTGTAGAATTCTCTTCTTTGGGCTGACATTTAACAACCAGATTAAACGTGTATACTGTATATGGAACACTAAATCAACAGGATAGGGCAGATTATAAATGTAATTATCGTTAAAATTATAAATAAAAACATGTAGGGTATTTTAAATGTAATTTTATCTCTTATACCAGGTCCTGGGAGCCACTCAATAACAGGTCTAGAGTTGCTGCCATAACCAACTATTCTACAGCACTGTCATTTAAGGTATCTAGAAATTTTAGCTCTTTGTCTTTGAATTAGACAGGTGCATGCTCTTTTTTTAATATGGTTTCCCATCATGATACAATAACTCAAATTCATTAGACTTTAGCTGCAAATTGGTCAACCCTTTTCTTATGGCTCTCAAATTAAGAGAGTATCTCCTTTCAAAGGAAACAACTCCAGTTTGGATTCCAATTCCTATCAGCTCCAACCAGTGACCTGTGATAATGTGGTTTGTACTCAAAAATATTTGGAGGGTACCACACTGGGGAAGGCTGTCCTATTCCAATAAAGATGAGCTAAGTTTTGAAGAGCTGAGGTATATATATATATAAACACAGGTTGGAAACTGAGCTTAAGGTGAAACAAAGGTTAACTGCGCATTACAGTGATGCAGTGAGCAACATGTTTAAGGGCTGCTTAACAAAAGGGGGGGAGGTCATTTGTCCACTGCCTGAGCAGAAGAAACACCCCCAAACTCTTTAAAATGTTATTTCTGACTTAGGAGCTGTGAATATTGAAACACTGGCCAGAAATAGGGCATCTAGAAGAACTGAAATATATATTAATTAATGTTTCATTTACAGTTTTCTTTGCTCATCCCCACCCCACCACAACCTAAAAGACCACTGCAGGGCAATGATGGAAGAGGATATACTATGGCACTAGATATGGTAGAATAGTCAACATGACTGTCCAGCAATAGTGTTGCCATAATAAACAGATGGACAGAGCTGCCAGTGAGCTTTGTTGCATATATTGTTTCTTTGGTGGGTGTTTGCAGGATAATCCAGTACTTCAGCACTAAGTTCCAACACCTTAGGCAGTGTTCCTGTAAACTCCTACTGTCTGAAATACTGCATCATGTGGTGTATTGTATAGTGCTAAAAGAGAAATAATGATGCAAGGGTGTATAGTAACGTGAACTCTTTAAAAACATGTTGAACACTTTGTCTTTTCCTCACAAAGCAGGCCAAGGCACTGGCCATGAAAGAGGTTGGTGCTCTCGTCCCCTCCTCAGGTTAGTTCTCCCTGTTCCTACTTCAGTTCCCGCTGTCACCACTGTACACAACCAAACCTACACTAATTCCTGGGCATAATGTGGCAGGTGAGAACCAAGGTGGAGTCACAAGGTGAGTGGCAGCAAATCCAAAGGACAACCACAGTAGGCTAAGGGGATGGGAGGCTCTTATCTCACAAGTTCTCTGCTTCAGAACTTCGGCAGTTCCCTACGTGTCATCTCCATCTTTTTGCTCACTCTGGTGCAGTTGCCACTACTGGCCCTGTGCTCACCCAACACTGTCACAGCTCCATCATGGGTCTGTTCTGAATGTACCTGTATGTCTATACATCCCAGAACATATTCCAAACAAGTCTCTCCAGAATCGCTTCATCCTTTGCTTATTTTTAAATAACAAGCCTCACTATATGCAAAACTAAACTTCAGATGGAATGTTCAATATACAGCTTTACAAGTAATCAGCTTATACTATGATTGTGCAATAAACTAATGCTTATTTAATATTTTTTATTTTACTTAATACCTATTTAATTAAAAAAACCCAGACAACTTTGTAGCAGGAACTGAAATTTATTTAAAGCTTTGAATGTCAATAGTCATCCAACACTTGGCTTAAAGGAGGGTGGGGAGGTAAGCTTACAACTCAGAAATAAAAATTCTTGAGTTTCCAAGTTTGAACTTGGTTCGCTGTAAAATGAAGTGACACTGATAATTCCATTGTAAGAAAATGAGAGAGACTGTGTCTTTATCTACAAGTTATCAGCTTAATTAGAACAGATCTACAAACGCTCCCAGGAGGGCAGACCCCAAAGATTGAAGAGTGTAATCACAGAATTAAATACAGCAGCTGAAATTTGCCCTGTCCAGCTGAATGCTAACTAAATACCAGGTTAGGTGGGATAGAAACTTTAATAGTTCCTCAAATGACTCTGTGGAAAGACGGAACCACCAAATAGCTTCAAATACTGCTGTATAAGCAATCAAGAACTGATGTTGCACAGCAGTGCAGCCGGCAGCCATAAGAAACTGTAAAAATAAATGCCCACAAAATGGCATTGGCATGTAAGTAGGCCTTTATTGCTTTGTCACTTATGATGTCACTAGCAACAGCCATTGCAATAGCAACATTTGGCCATTGCAATTGCAGTTCTGTGGTGTGATTGATGAAGGCTGATATATCACATTGAGAGTACGTTCCGAGAAAAGGAAACAACTTCTGAAACAGAAGTCTTTCCATGAAGAAAGTATTGCAGCTGTTGAGCAACGAATAGATAAGAACTGCACAATCATTGCTCTAATAACTTCACATGAAGGGAGGCCCTCGAGAGTCCTGTTTCTGCCTATATCCAGCACTGGGGAAGAAAGAATTAGCTTGAGATAAAGGGAGGTTTGTGAGCTCTCTGTAAATTGTATTTCTCATTGAGATGACTTTGTCTAATTCACTCAGTTTCAACTTAGAACTCCCTTGCCCCCTTTTTGGAACTTTTCAGCAGACCTTTGGGAAGTGAAATGGCTAACTGGTAAAGTATCTGCCTTGCATGTAAAAGGTCTCAGGCTTTATCCTCAGCATCCCCAGGTACAGCTGTGAATGCCCTATGCCTGAAACCATGGAAAGCTTCTGCCAGTTAGTCTAGGCAATACTGAGCTAGGTGGATCAGTGTATGACTCAGTACAAGTTGGCCTCCTATGTTTCTTTACAAGCTGTTTTATAAGAAAGGAGCAGTCTGGAGCTTGCAACCACCACATGGACATCAAGCCAAATAAGGAAACCAGCACCAGAAACACAATCAGTGTATTTTTTTCCGTTAGTTTTCATACAATCCAAAAAGGTAAATCAGACCAGCATGAAAACATGAAAGAAATTAATTTTGAAAAAGAGACACTAAGAAAAAAGGATCTATTAACTATGTCATTTCTAATGACCTCAAAATGAAGTTTGTTACACAGTCAATTCTCTTCTTTGTGACAGTGGCATCCTCTGGCACAGACTTTGAAATTCTTCAGACACCAGAAGGGAAAAGTAGGTTTCATCATAGAAGCAGTTTCTTTCTTCACAAGCTATTGTACCGTGGTTATTGCTCAATGACCTTGGCGGATTCTTGCTGCTATTTTGGGTCTATTCATTCTTTTGATGTGTCATTTTTCAAAAATGAGGCTTACATTTGTTGGTTTCACTGAAGTGAAGGAGAGCACCTCCAATGTCCTCTCATGCAGAGGTCTCTAGGTAAGGCACATTTAACTGAACTCCCACAAAGTAGATTGGAGCCAAATGACAATTCAATAGCAACATTCGTTGAGAAGTTGTCCAAAATACTGAGGGGTATGTAAGGTAGCAAATGCATTATAAAAGCCAACTGCCATTTCATAAATGCTACCTTAAGAGTTAAAAGTGATGCCTCGCCTAGAAGACATAGGATTCATTGAAAGGGCTGAATGAGCACTTTGCCTCAGACCAGCCTTCTGCAACCTCAAGGGTGGGGGATCTTAGGCCCTTTTCCTTTAAAGTTGGAAACTGCACTCCATAGCACAGACGGCTTATAAAATTCTTCTGGTTCAAAAGAGGTTTGCCATAAATGAGAAAGGGGAACTGCTATTTGAGAAAAACAATTCCAAAGCTTCCTTGGTATGCAAAGCTAATCGCACAGTTCTCTGGATACAAGCCACCCTCACTAAGTCCAGATAATAAAGCCTCCCTTTTGTTTACTACAGTGTCAAGCATTCCCATTGTCAATTTTTATTTTATTATTATTTTGCCAACTAGCAAAATCCAAAATACATTTTTTCACTTTTAGGTCCAGCAACTTGCAGGTCCCTCTTAAGCACTGACTACAGTATATAATTGTTGTTTGAATAAAACTTTAAAGACATTCATAGCAAACAATGTAGTATTATTTGCTAAATTACGCACAATACATGTCACGATCTCAAGGTGGCAATCTAAGTTTAGGTATGAGAAGAACATAATGCATATATTTCTCTTTCCCCTTAGAAGGCAGGCTAAATGGCTTCAAAAATTCCAGAAATGTTACACCTCTACTTTCAGCTAGAATCAAAAGCAGGCATAGGCAAACTCGGCCCTCCAGATGTTTTGGGACTACAACTCCCATCATCCCTAGCTAACAGGACCAGTGGTCAGGGATGATGGGAGCTGTAGTCCCTAAACATCTGGAGGGCTGAGTTTGCCTATGCCTGATCAAAAGTATCAACTTCCCAATCAGATGACTTCTTCATTCTCCTAAATCTTTTGAAAGTTAACCCCATCAAACACATGTTCTAGGCTCCCCTCCCTTCCCAGTCCAGTCCACCCCACCTTCTACACTTAACATATTAAGTTAACATACTTAACATGCCAAAGTCATTTTCTTGTTTCTCTACTCATACTTTGCAGAAGCTTGTTCTGCTGAAAGTCCAGCACTCATCTTATCCCATACCACACAAGCACCTCCTACATGCATTTTTACACAAGTGCCCCATTTTCTTTTTGTTTTCCAAGAGAACCCAGCTACTACTGAAACGGATGAAAATGAACAACAATGACAGAGGACACAAAAGCCTTCTTCAGGTGTTCTCTATACATGTTAAGTAAACATACAAGAGGGGGGCCATGGGGAGAAGCACATGTGCCCATCCCCACCAGTTCTTCTGGGTTGGAGGCAGTCTTCTGAAGCTGGAAATCTCCTGCACTCACTGAGGCTCCCACACATTTTCTAACCCTGACTTTCCAATTTGCGGAGGGAAATCAGAAGAATGGCAGGTTTGGTGGTGGTGGAGCTAGTATGCCTGCTTCCATGCCGCCCCCCCCCCCCCACATGTTTACTTAACTTGTATAAAATATGCCTTAAGAGGGTTCGAGTTCCATACAGATCCTTCAAGTATCATCAATGAAGGGGGAGAAAGCACCAATATAATGATTTTGACACTCCCCTATCTCCTGAGAATGTACAAAGCTGGTAACCAGTCTGGTTATGTTTTGAACTTTAAAAACTTGGCTTCTTATTAGGCATTACCACCTTAAGCAAGCCACTGGGAGGTTTACAGCCTCTTCAAGCCAAGGGGTCACTTGGCTCTACTCATCTCTCTAAAAACAAGCTCAAATAGTGATTAGTTAGCATTATGTCTTATTTGAAGGAGGCAGCTTACTTTAGAATAACTTCCTTGAATAAGGCTGTATTTTAAGCATAGTTTCAGTGAGCTGTTTATTAGTTGTCCAAAATACTGAATAAGTCACTCATTTGCCTTTGATCTTGCACACCAGTGGCTGTGGCTTTCTGAAAGCTCCGTCAAAGGATGTTCAACAAGTCAGTGGTTGCCGTTTTACTGCAAATGGACACATGTGACTGCAACCTCAAGAGAAGTCCTCAAACCACAAAACCTTCACACAGAAAGTGTTCCAAGCATAACAGGCACTTCAGAAAAATCAGCAAATCTACAGAAAAAATAATGGGCCCATCATAGAAATAAATGAAGGGAGAGTTTAAATCATTCCTCCTCATACTCTATCTAAACAGGGTTTTTTTTTTTTCCTTTTGAAAATTTGTATTGATTTATCAAAAACATATGGGCAAATTAACGCATAACCATACAAGCAATAATGAAACCATACATGGAGCAGATTCAGTATAAAAACAGAGGTGCAGTTACATATAACCAAGTCTTGAAGCTGAGTCTATATCAACCAACCACATCAAGGAGTGAGTCATGGGAGGGGTACTTATACGGTGCTCCCAATTTAGATAATATAAAAATGGACACTAGGCTGCATCAAAACTGTTCAATTTGGTTTTGCCCCAGACTATACAGACTATACTCTATCAACATTCAGATAAAGCAATGTTCCATACATTAGAAAACCATGGGGTTTGCATAAAAATCTAGAATTTCTTCATATTACAAAATTATTACAAGGCAGCTGTGTTGCAATACATGCAACAGCCTCTCTAATTAATGCAGAAAGTAATGTGCTGTAGCTTGCTGCACACAGCACTTAATGTCACCCAACTAGCTTTTGAGTCAGCATTTTGCAACTTGAAAAAGACAGACTAAGAAGGCACGTTGAAGCTCTGAACTTCTTTGTGACACAGTCTTCTTGTCACCAAAATTTCTTTTTCTTGCATATAAGAGGTGGACTAAGAAAACACAAGCAGAATGTTTCTGCATCCTCCTATTTATAGATTTTGCTTGCTGCTTCAAGAAAGCTTCCACTATTATTTAACATATTATATTGGGGCTTTCCCATAGTTTGCCAGTATTTCACCATTCTAGTTGTAAGTGGCACCATTTTATTTTAACACTGGAAGAAAAAAGTGAGGTGTTATAGAAATCTTATCCTCAATGATCAACATACATAAAAACACTGTACAGTAGTTGTCTTAGCAGTTTAATATGATGCAACCAGCTGGGCTTGATACATTTAATGTACCTCCTACAATAACCTAATCTGCTCTCATTAATACTATCACCACTTTATCTTCATAGATTTTAAGAATGGAACAGGAAAACCTATATATATATATATATATATATATATATATATATATATGGAATGACTTCATCTAAAAGGGAGATAATTTTTTATTCTTCCTCAACATCATTAACCTAAGTATTTCACCATTTTAAGAGCACTTCATGACTTTGCTTTGGTTACTTTTAACTAACCTCACACAACAGTGTGAAAGCTTAGCAGAGCTGAATACTTAATCCCAAATTCACAGGTATATTAATCAACTGACGGTTAGTAGCTTGGAAAGATTGTGGGGTTATTATTATTCATTATTAATGTTAATAACAGTTTGATTTATTACTCATACGTCACCCTAAGGTCTCAGGGCAGGGTACAACATTATAAAATACAGTACAATATTTAAAAGAGTTTAATAAAAAAAAATAGGGTTATGGTAGATAAAAAAGATTATTATGGATAGCTCGACAAAAACATTAACTCTGTGTGTAGTGTTAAAAAAGAGGAAAATTCCAGGCAAAGCATTGACAAGACGACTATCAGTATCATAATGTCATTCTATAAAATCTCTGGTGTGGCTGGATTTGAAATCCATAGTACCCCATAGTACAGAAATGGATTCAATGCAAAATGGGCAACCAAAGTGATCAAGTGGGTTAAGGCACTTTCCCTACAAGGAATGACTAACACACTAGGGACTTTTCAGTTTAGTAACACCTAAAGGGTTTTGGGGTTTTTTTTGAAACAGGTTTATAAACATTAGACCTTTAATCTCAGGGTCATGGAATCAAGCCCCATGTTTGGCAAAAGATTCCTGCATTACAGGGTGTTGCACTAGATGACACTTGTGGTTCCTTCCCTACTCTACAATTCAATGAGTCTATGGCATGAAGGTGGTGTATATTGAAAACGTGTCCTCCCACTCTCATAATGCTAGAAATTGGGAGTCACCCAGTGAAACTGGCAGTAGATTCAGGACAGACAAGATAAAGCACATCTTTACACAATGCATAATTGATGGATTCACTACCACAAGATGTGGTTACCAACACTAGCTTTAGATTACTTTAAATGAGGATTTTGTAAAATCATTCAGGATAGATCTATCAGTAGCTATCAGCCAGGGTGGCTAAGTGGAAGATTCATTTTCGTAAACAATATTCCACTGAATACCCATTAAGAGGGATGGACACATGGGAGGCCTATTGCATCCACGCCTTGTTTGATGACTTGCTGGAGGCATCTGGTTGATCACTCTGGAAAACAGGATGCTAAACTAAATGAAGGCTTGATCTGATCCAGCAGGGCTCTTCTTATGTTTTTATTATACCACTATCCTCCTTCAGTTAATCAGCTTCTTCCTGCCCTACTTCCAGGCAACTGATGACCATTTGAGACTACGCAGTATATTTTATTATAGGGAAGAAAGTATAGTCTGATTCATTATTATTGCCATCTCAAATAACTGTAGTGAGGAGGAGGAGAAGCATGTCTCTCTGTGTCAAGTTCAGTCCATGAAAGTCAAATCTCTCATAAAGGAAATGCAATTAAGTCTCTAGAGAAAGACTTCTGCAGATACTCTTGTAGATATAAATATCATACTGAAAATGACAGCTGCTCAAGGCAGGCAAATAATGGAGGATTCAGGAAGGTGGTCAACAAAAACAAAGTTCCCTAACATTTGACAATAGTTTAGAGGACAATTGTTTGGGTAGTATAACTCACTGTCTCTGCTAAAATACAAAAGTGCAGTACTTAAAAAACCAAAAAAAACCCAAAAACATTCCAGGAAGAAAAACCAAGCAAATATGCTTCTTTAGGAGGCTATTGATACACATTTACCCCCAAACAAAAATCCCCTCTATATACAGGAAGCTGCCCTATACCAAAACATACTATTGATCCATCTAACTCAGTGCTGTCTACACCAACTGGCAGCACCTCTCCAGGGTTTAAGAGACAGGGAGTACTCCCTACCTGCTATGAATTGAATCTGGACCTTCTACACACAAAACATTCTCAACCTCAAAGCTATGGTCCTTCCCTATACAGACAAAAAAAGTCTGCAGTCTTCTGGGGTTATTGTGCTTACAATGTCTCAAAAAAATTAAGAGGGAAGCAGTCTCATTGCTCTTCAAAATTCACCTACGATAACCAGAAAAGCATACCCTTTTGCAGCTATCACTTAATAGTGACTTACCCCAAGGTGAACCGATACCACAGCTTCCTACACACGTTTTGTTTTCTTCAGCTTTTAATTATTCAATTGGGTATACATTTTAAAAGCTGAACGTAGGCTACTGTCTCTTCTTGCTAGGCAAACACATTTGAGAGAACAGGAGTGTATGTATGAGAGCTCACGAGAACTTTGGGTAACAATCCTGATTTCTAATCTTAGCCAAGAGATTTGAACAGGTCACAGAATCACACACTCTTTTCCAAGATCTACATTTCATACAGCAGGGATGAGAAATCGGCAGCCTTCAAGTGGTTGTTGGATTACAACTCCCATCATCCCAACCATGGGTGGGGCTGACATCTGGAGGGTTAGCAGTTCCCCATCCCTGTCATACAGTAATTTCTCCAACCCTTTCTCATAACCCATTATCATGGCTAGGTATTAAATTGCATCAACCTAACCAGTGTTTCTACCACAATCAACATTTTGAAGCAGTTCTGCAAACCATAGGCACAATGGGAACCTTGGTTAACATGAAACAGTGTTAAGGTCAGTGCCGATGTAGTTATTAACCATAATGATAGAGGCAGGAAAAGAGAGAATTCTCACGAGAGAGAGAAGGCAGCTCACAAGTCTGTGGCCCATTCCCAGGAACTACTGGCCAACTTAATTCATCCACCAACCATTTATTCCATGTTATTATATGGTTTTATGCTAATTTTTCTCCTGGTGCAACTTTTATATTAATTGATTTGGTTGACTGTATTCATATTTTATTTATCTGAAATCTGTGAACTGCCTAAGGGACATGATTAATTGGGTAGTATATGTGACAAAAATACATTAAAGATTTTTTTAAAAAAGTTCTTCTTTACTTGCTAGTTCGTTAGTAACCATTTCCCTCTCAACGTTTACAGGCTTTCAGCTCCTGCAAGTCAGTGGTGCTTGGATCCAGAGGCAATGGTGGGAAGAACAATGGATGTGACCTGAGTATGGTGGGCTGCATTCCAGCCACACAAAAGTCAGAGGCTTCTACATTCCAGTTAGCCAGGAAGAGGCATGATCACAGTTCAATGACATATTCCTGCTAACCAGAATCACCCAAAGAGGGGCTGTGGCTTGGGAGAGTCCCACAGTCCACTATTAGGGCCTGGGATTCTCTATCCCTGACCTTAAGGCAATAGCCACTGAGGAAAAGAATGATTATCGTGTCTCCAGCCTGCCTACAATCAACTCTAGCTTTCTTTGCTTGTTTCAAGGAGTACTTCAAATTTTTCAGTGGTCAAAGTCTGACATTATGCATGATTACTTCTTATGTGATGAATGTAACATGCAGCCAAGCACTCAGTCAGATATTAATTGAGCTATCTGTGCTACCATTATCCGGTGTGCCAATCCAATTTCATGGGATTCAGAATGTTTTCTAGAGTTATAGTGTGAGCCTATTTTTAAAACTTCACAAGCAACAAAGGCTTCTGCCAATTATCTCACATTTGAAAGGAAATGCCACCTTGAAAAATAACTTGTAGTATACAGAAATATTTATATCCCCATTTACCCAGTAATGAGTTGATGAATAGCTTTACAGAGTCACATCTTACATCTTTTTGGGATGCTTATTAAAAAAAAAACCTATGAAGAGTTACAGTAAATAGCCTCTTAAAAGCGTGCAATGACAAAATAGCACAACTGAACTATAATAAATATTTCACATTAAATAGCTAAAATGCATACATGGAAAGTTAAGAACCTTGACAGCAATTCTATTTTAGATTATGTCTATTTGGAAGCCAATTAACCTAGATTACTTATTTATGAAAGGAAACCATGTCCCTTTTCTGCAGTTCTTATCAGGATGAAGCACCTAAAAGTACACAGAATATTTCCCAGACCAAGCAGTTCTGATTGCTATGACAAGGTGACCACAGACTCAGTTAAGTAAGACACTGACACAGTTTGCATGTAATGCTAAGCCAACCCATGGCTAAAGAAGAATGTGTAAGCATATATGTATTCACAGCAAAGATGGCAGCAACTTCACTCCTCTGGTCATTCTACTGCCATGCTTCCTGGAGCAAAGCCATGGTCTGGCATGGCATCACATCCAAATCAAGGCTCATGGTGGTTTGCGTTCCCCAGACAAACCATGAGCTGTAAGTCCCATCCCCCCCCGCACCCAAACAAACCATTAGCTACAGCTTATGGTTTGTCTGGAGCAAGACAAATCACAAGCCCAGGTTCAGATGTAATGCTAAGCCAAACCATGGTTAAGCTCCAGGCAGTGTGGCAGCAGGCAAAGCAGGCACACAAATGAGGCAGGGTGAAGCAGCTGCCTCAGGTGGCAGAAATGCAAGAGGCAGCACCCAGCCTGCCCCACTGCTTCTGCCACCACTGGAACGCCCCACTCTCACCTAGTTTCGGCGAGAGTGGGGAGTTCCACCACTCTGCTTTGCTGCTGGTCTCGCTCTGCCCCTGGGGGCAGAAGGAGGCCCGCGGAAAAGTTCACTGCAGGGCAGGGAGTCTCAGCAAGGGGGGAAATCCCTTCCTACATCCCACCAAGGGGGCAGCAGCAGGGCATTTAGTCTCAATCACCAAAATGCTTTGGGCTGCCCCTAGAAGCAGGAGGACCAGGGGAGGTATGAAGCAGCTGCAATTTTTGCTACAAGTAGTCACAGGATCACACATTCATGTTTAGCCATGGTTTGGCTTAGTGTTATTTGCAAACCAGGCCATTAGCCAGCTGTGGATACTCAAATGAGGAAGTGAAAGTTATCTGAACCAAATTCAGAGGTACTCCTCCCAAGAAGCAAGGTACAGAAGATACAGTCCTTGGAAAGGCTCTGAAACCCAACAACAGTATTATGTAACTGAAATCAAACAATAATGCATGTTCGTTGCTACTGTTCAAGGCATGGGACTTGCCTAGTTACACCACACCACTTGCTAAATTGCGTTTTCTATAAGCTGGTTCCATGCAGCATAATGTAAGTTATATACTTGATATCAGTATAAGCCTGCAAGGTAATTAATTACAAAGATAGGACATTTTTGTACTTGCACATGAGGCAACATGGTTATATATTAAGATTCTATTTCACATAGTTTAAGGCCATGGCGCAGGAAGCTAAATGAAACTGGATTTGGCTCTCTTCTCTTTGAGGAAAGACCATACCTGCTGCTCAGGTCCCCCATATGTTTCACCTGGATAATTTATTCTCCACCCTGAATAGCTATTTATGTTTGGTGACAGTGGTAGCTACTGCTTTCACCCCAGAAGTGGGTAGAAGCAACTCTGGGTAGCCACTGTGTCAAGCATTTTGGGATTATTTGTGACAAGAACTATTAAAGGGTAAGTTAATTCCACTACTACCAGAAACCTAGACAATAGAAGAAATTTACTTTCCAGGAAGGCCGTAAATCTGCTCTAGCCATGCCAAGGCCAGTGATGAACTAAAGCAAAAGCCTTGGACAAAGTAGATAAATAAGGGAGTCTGACACATAAAACCCCGAGACATGTAAGTTAAGATTATTGCTTAAGCACTGACCCTAAACAAGACAAATGTATTGCTTAACATGCTGCTTCTAGGAGGTTGTACGTTAACATATTTCAGGTATGTTTTGATTCTAACCATTTTCAGAACAGAAGAATGGTTATTTATGTGACCTCATCAATTCCTCAAGCTGTACCATTTTCAGCTGATAAAAGCATTGTTCATTTTGTCAGGCAGCAGACATTTATTAATTTATTCTCTACATCCAGAGTAGGCAGTATGTGTACCCACTAAGATGTTTCTGACAAAGTTTTCAATGTCAAAGTGTCATTGTCAGAATTTACAAGATTTCAGCAGTGAATTTGGACTAGGAGTATCATCCATTCTGCATAATGCACGGATTAACTGGAGTCTGCAGGAACACAAAATGCTCAATGACAACAGATAATTTTGTCATCACATATGCCAGAGTTTAAAAGATTTTGAATCAGCTCCAAGTCTGAACAATGGGGAGTCAGGGCACTTCTATATCCCTAATTACTAGTAGTATAGTTCCCCATTGTTGAGGCCTCAGCCTGCTCTTGGGCCTGGGTTGTTCCTAGGAACACTTGAGCCAATCCATGTAATGGGAAATTGGGCTACCACGGTCAAAGAGGCTACCATATCACCAGGCCTAGGAGCAGAGATGGAACATGGGAACTACCTTTCCCATAATTCCAAGAGTCATTGAAAAGAAGTTAATTATGGAGTGGAACCAGTGCATTTGGCCTGTCCCAAGTTAAATGGACCTTAAACTTCAATTCAGAGGCAAATTCTGCACCATCTTGTTTTGTAGGTGTATCACAATATAGAGGAACCACAATGAAACAACACTGAGTGGCATCTTCATCCAAACCAAAATTCATCACTTCTGTAACTTATATGCTTAGCTCACTTTTTCCACCAGCTTACCAGACAGACAGTACATACACAGCTCTAGGGCTAGGTCAGTTGGTTACCTTGTACTCCAACAAAACCCCTAATATTCAAAGGACTCTTGTACATTATATCTATGGTATAACAGGATTGCCCAAGACTGTAAAATATCATACTGAGGAAAATAGGCCAACAGGGTAGGTGCATTTTACATATCTTCAGATAAGCCTTCAATTTTAAATCACATTTTAAAAGTGTTACTAATCTGAAGCCACTTCAGAAAGCAATGTTGGAAAACATGGCCTGTGTTTTTAAGAGGTATTATGCCAAGGAGGCCATTAAGCACACACAAATGTTTTACTGACGGCTTCCACTTGAAGCAAAAGAAAAAGGAGGTCCAGAGTCTGGACAAACTAACAAATAGGAGGGGGAAGTAACTGCTTTAGCTATTCTATAAATACTTGAACTTCATACTTTGTGCAAGTATGTCAGCCTAATTATTTATTGCAGGAAAAGAGTAATCCAAGTTTACCTTTCAGTGAATCACTTTCAGCTCTCATTATGTCAATTAGTGAGTTCTCCAGTGAATGCATGTCAAAAGTTCTCGTGCGATCCTGCAAGTAAAACACAAATACCAGTTTAAAGAGAATGCTACTAAGAACTACCCAGAAACCTTTTCAAATCAGATTTTTTTTAAAGCAGCAATTTAATAAAATACTCCGAATCAGCTTATATTGATTAGAGTAAAGCAAACTATTAATGGTTTGGAGAACAGTTTGTAAGCACTGGAGGCTGCAGCATTTACTGAAGTTAAGTGGGTATACACCGGATCAGTCCCTTGGAGCACAATAATTTTGAAACAAAAGTACTGTTACTTCAAGTTAGGAAGTCAAGGTTATCTGAACCTAATTCAGAGGTACTCCTACCAAGAAACGAGATACTGTACAGAATATATAATGTCTGCATCATTTGAGTAAATATTTTTCTTATGTGGCATAAAAATTGCTTTAACGCAATTTAGTTTGAATTAATATTTGCATGCCACTTTTGCAACAAAGTTGAGCTCAAAATGGCTCACAATAAAGAAACTTTAAAAAACAAGTGAACAGCATTTTGATCAATACAATCATATCAAATACACAATAAGTAAGGCAAAATCAGTTCTACAAATAATGCAGTTCAAAACAACCTCATATTTTAAAAAAATCCAAAAAGATTTTTTTTCAGTATTTAAGGCAAATCAAGACCTAGTGAAAAGCATTTCAGAATTCACTGTCACTAAATGATGACCTTAAATATGTTGTGTGTTTTAGACAACACTTTCTCTCATATAAAATCCCACTACTTTTAGGGATCTCCAATAGGCTACCTTTCCATGGATAATTAGATACGTGTACTCAAAATGGGGATTTTCCAGTGTAGCATGGCAGCTCTGGAATACCTTTTTTGGGAGGCCTCCAAGGCTACATCATATGGTGTTAGCTGTCAACTGAACACTTACTTATTTTAGAATATATTTTAGTTCTCAAGTCTCAACATGGATAGTTTTGCTGTCACTGTATGTAATTATATTGATATTTTGCATTGATTTTTTGCTGTGTGTTTTGTTAGGTTGTTGTAAACTACCTTAAGCACATTCAGGATGGAAATGCAGTTTAAATATCCAAAATATATTGAAGCAAATTTAAGACAGTCAAGAGCTACCACCAGTCCTGTTTGGAAAGTAGAATCACAATATGCGAATAATAAACAAAATATTAAAAATATAACCCTGTCTGATGCAAGGCCATGTTTGCCAAATTTCATCAGCTTGACACGTCAAATGCTGATTTAAAACCACAGACTTCAAGCCTCAGTAAAAGTAGTTTCTTAAAACAATTATATTTAGTTCTTTATGCAATTAGAGTAAAACATAACTAGATATACATTTCCAAACACTCATATTGATATAAACGAAGTGGTGAAATAGTCCAAGTGGGAAACATCCTTACTGAGCTGAATTTTTACTCTCCTACATTTCTTATCTTTTTCTTTTATTTTTTTACTCCGCTGATAGGATATATTGAGGCTTGTATTCCCACCCCCGTATTATACAAAGGTATAAATAATTCTTTTTAAATCTGAAGCATCTTTAAATATGACAAACAACCTTTTATGACCATAATCTCAAAACCATCCTCTTAGCATTTAAAGCCCAAAGAGCTCATCTGTTTACTTGAAATGCAGCAGTGCAGTACATGTCATTTGCTCTGTGCTATACAGTTATCAGTAGTTCAATAAAAACTGCAAGTCTTGGAATTCAAATATTGGTATTCCACATTACCCAGTGTTACAGATAACAAGAGTACACTGCATACATTGAAATTCCATTAAGTGTAGTGAGACCAACATTGGAATTTACGGTACATAGATATTTAACTGAGGCACAATGACTTGCAGTGAAGGCATTACCATGTTGTCATCTGTAACACACCTCCCAAGTATTTCTCACATACAATAGCCAAAACCATCACTTAGCACGTACTTTCATAGTTCACTCTTGACCGAAACAACAGATACCCAACTAAACAGAAAGTTCAACGTTGTGTCATCTGGAGGAGGTAGAGCACTCTGGAGGAGCCAGCCGCTGATGCTGCAAAGTGCAGCATACATGACATACGTCACATGCATGCGACATGCACCAGGCCCCCTCAACAATATCCAACAAATATTCAGAGGGGTGAAGACACCCCCCCCCCCGAGTTGGCATGCCTGCTAAGATGTGCCCACTGTTTTATATTTCAAATTTCTCATTGTTGTTTTAATGGGTATAACATTAGTCCCAGGTAGTCTACTTAAACTCACCTACCTAAAAAAATAAAATAAAAAATGTTTCTGCCCTATAGGAAAGTATTGTGAACTTACTCTGGACATGGGATTAGCAACAAGGCTTTGTTTAACTATGCACACGAGCCCTGCTTGCAGTTCTTTGCTACCTAACCTTGAGGTCAAGCTGTAATTTTCCAAAGTCAGTAGAGACATGCCAAGTTAAATACCAGCTCATCTCTTACACCCATTTTCAAGAGGCCAGGTAAGTAATAAAAGCATGGCAATCCAATAGTAGAATTATATTTTTAAAATATAATTCTCCATCAGAATTTGCTTTACTCCCCAACAAGGGAAAAGGTGAAAAGTAAATTGTTAAGTCAATGCTTGAAGCAACAGACCTTGTTGATGCTGAGCTTTGCTGGTATACACAGTTTTCAAGTTTAAAATGTATATCCTTCTCAATTTTTTACCACCTTATTTCCTTACTGTCTCCCTAGGATCAGATGAAAATGAAAAAGGTTTATGTATCTGCACACTGATGACTATATAGCCCAGATCTCAAAATTGGAGATTTCAAGCTTCAGCTTCAACTGTGTCCATTCACCCAGAGCTTTTATGTAGATGCTTAAGCAGAACAAGGAAAGAACCCTGCAGGCAACTCGCCACAGGGAGGAACAGTAGCTGCCCCAGCATCATTTTCTGAGCCCTGCCTCAGAAGGAATAAGCAGAGCCTACTTAACAGTGCACCCAAGCCCTACCCCCTTGGTCAATGGTACTGATTGTGACTGAAAAGTCCAGAGGAACCAACAGGAACACAGTCCACCTTCCACCTTCTGATGTAAATAATCCACAAAAGTGATAATGGCTGTTTCCAGTCCCAAAGCAGGCTGAAACCCCAGATTGAAATAGCTTACCTTAAAGTAGTAAGAATTTATCTTATTTTATACACACATTCTTTTGCTCTCATCTCATCGAAACAACTTCCAGAAGTAATACAATATTTCAGGTTATCTAGAGAGATTAACTTGTGTTTTGCAAGTTAATCACTGGGCCCTTTATGGGCAAGTTCAATGATGCCAAAGTTTTTTTTTTAAGCCATAGAAGAAACATGCACAAGGGACAATATACTGCAATTGCATATAAGGAAAGTTTTGGGAAAGTCCAATGGTGAATAGAGCTAAACATATTTTTAGCATTACAGGATCCTAACAGACCTAGAAGGAGGTCATTTCCTTTAGATATGTTCATACTTAAAAGTGAATTCATAGCTGGAAAGCAAGCCAATGGAACATCAACGCTTATATTCCCATTAGAGAAGGTAATGTGGCTTAGTGTACAATTTTGGACTTTGACTAGATTGTGATCAGCATGTTCTAAAGTCAGAAAGAAGGAACAGAAAGAAGTAAAAAACTTGTGAAAAACAGAGGAGAGCTCTATTGGTCCCTAATACCTGTCACTCAAATGGAGGAGCCTACACCGGTTCCATCTTCTCAACCAGGAAAGATAACCTTAGTTCACCCATGGTAAAAAAAAAAAAAGGCAACAAGTTATCTCACAAAACAACAAAGAGAGACTATAAAAGAATGGTCCACGTTCCAAGGCAATGCATAATTTTTAAGAACATTTTTAAAATGCTCATTTTCCATTTTAGTTAGAATGCCACTTACCATACGCTTATCATATATGCTAAGTACGGTGGAGCTATGGGTCAGCAGAGCTCATGGCTGAGACAGACATTATCCTCCCATTTAATATAAGCAGGGTACTGACAATACTATTCAAACTGACAGCACTTGCAAGTTTCTGCACCAGCCAAAACTCACGCGATTGAGCAAAAAAATACCTATTTAATTTTGAACATCAAACATTAGAACAGAACATTAAGGAAAGGTTTGAAGCTCTTTGGAATTAGTCATCCAGTTGTCATAATTAATGAGTTGTGAGCATCAAGTAGGTGTGATGCCAGTTTTAGACCTGCCACATCTTGCAACAGTATCTGCATTCATGTATCAAGAAAAGTTATGAAGACATTCAAGTCACTGTGTAAAAAACACAGGGAGATCCAGGAAAGCATAGCTTTGACAAGTGAGCATTTCTTACATCCTGTTTCAGCAGACATATACTTAAAAACCAATGAGAGTCTGACCATGCTTAGGAGATACAAGAAAATCCTATGAGATGAACTCAGCAGCCTTTCACCAAACCTAACTTACATATGGATACAATGACTGGGTAAGAAGATAGGTGCTGTGCAGGTTCCCTCTACATGACTTACAGGAACTAATGTCTATTTTTACAGACTTTTGACTTCACACTGTTCCTTCTTATTTAATTTAAAGCACATAATCTCATCATATTCTGAACTATTCTGCCACCTCCCACCTCTAAGAAGATCTCAACCTATTTTCTTTTCTTGTCAAAGGGAGGCTGACATGTCTATAGTTACTGGTATTCTTCCATAACAGTTTCTTAACATTCTGTATAGACAGGTCACTTCACATCTTTCCAGGAGGATTCTTCATATTTAATCAATATCTTGAAATTTAAGCCAAGATAGCTTTATAGGAAAAATGTATTAAGCTGCTATATGCACAGTTCTGAAATAAAACATGCATTATGGCCAAGAAGAAATAGAATACAGTATGTCCCTGCTACCCAATTCAAGAAAAGTTGCTTCACACTTGCAAAGGATGGGTCCATCCATATGCAGAGTGGGTGGTCATGCTTTCTGCTAGTTAAGAAGGAGTATGTCTGAAGACATCTGATAAGCATGCAACTAGGAGCCTAAAGCCTTGTCCACACTTCCACTTGTCCCATGCCTAGCTCAGAAAAAGATTTGTGCTTTGGCAAAACCATGCTTAATCATGTTAACAGGCTATCAAGCAGTTTCACTAGAGGTACAAGTAAGGAATAATAATAATAAAAAAAATCAACCACTAAGGGTACAAAGAAGAAACAAAGAATCAACCCCAACTCTTAAACAGAAGTAGGTTTTCATTTTGGGAGTGGTTTCCCCCACTGCAACATGCAGTTAAAAGGAGATGTGCAAGTCAGTTGCAATTCTACTTTCTGTCTCACGTTTTAACACTCAAAAACAAAATCCATTTATCTCTGTGAAGCAAATGTTTGCTTCATTGCGGGAGGGGTGCTCAGGGGTAGGGCACCAATTTTTTTAACCCTAGGAGAGCTGCTGCTAGCTGGAGTAGATAGGGCTTAATATGCCAATGCAGAGCTTCGCGTGTTCATTCTGAAGTGGTACAGTACAAGAGGACTACCATACAACATGGCTCTTACTTCTTTTTCTATATAATAGGAACAGTGTGCTCTTGCCCAGGTCCCCTGGAAATTGAGCCAGTTTTCTCCAGCCAAAGGACAATTTCTTCTGGGGTTGTTTGTATTCTGGTGTGGATGGGGAAGTACAAAAACAGATGCAATGTTTGTCAAATATGAGGAGTGGTTGCATAGCTTCCCTTTAAAATAAACACAAATTGGCTCTATTGGGGGGAATGAAAACAATGGCCATTGCCCTCTGCCAATATCCCATTGGACACCACATCAAGTCACTGTGCTAACCTCAAAATACCTATATGAATGAATTAATCAAGTCTGATGACTATATGGGCATAATAAATAAGTAAACAGATGACCAGCAGCACAATAAAGCATGAGCACTTGTGTTTATTTACCGCAGTTTGCTATAATGTATCTGTAGTTTTACTTTAACAGGTGGTTCAAAGGATACTGAATTGGAAAGTCTACAAAGAACAAGCAAGTAATTGTGCTAATAAGAGCCTGACTAATAAAGATTACATTACTAAATAACTGCTTTCTACCACTAAAGAATAGAAGGCTGTCAACCGATAAGGAAATAGCAGCTGTTTCTCAGAGACATACCAGTATCATCATGCATTTTGTATATTTAGTCAAGATGCAAGACACTTCTAATTAATTAATTAAACCTCACGGTTTAAAAAATATTTTTGTAAAACTAAACACTGATGGTAGTAATCATCAGATATTTGCTTAATATACACTAAAGGATGTCAGTTAATATTCTGTACTGTGCTATAACTTCATTTGAAAGAGAAAAAAATGGTTGGTGTCTTTCCTCAAGGTTGAAATCATTTTGAAACATGTGCCATTGCTTATCAGCCTCCAAAAGGACAAGGGGACATATTTTAATGCAGAGATTGCACAACTGAGCCAAATTTGCAGGAGTTCTTGCTCCACACACTGGTACCAATCCATAATTTCCATTTTAAAATTCTGTGGATGTGCGCACGCATGTGCATACACACACACACACACACACACACACACATCAGCTTGAATCATACTTCAGATGACAGAAAGGCTCTCTTTAAAAGAGAAAAAACCTGAAAGCACTATTAAAGACTGCATACTCCTGAGGTTTGCCGCATACAGAGCATGCATTGTGATACTCTTGAACATATTAGAAATAAGAGTCACAAATAATTATGGCACATCTCTGCTTTCAAGAAGCTTTGGTGCAAACATAACTTTAGAACTTCAGCAATTTTTTCCTGCAGCAGGCAGTGAAATCGTATTCTGGATTCAGGCAGAGTGCTTGCACTTTCAAAACTAAACCTGTCATCATCTGTGTTCCACAAGCACAGCAATACTTAAAATGGGAGATCCCTTCCAGTGCTCATTTGATGGGAGGGTTGGCGGCCCTTAATGAAATCCACAGGCTCTACTCTCTGAATCTCTCCACTTTTAGACAAATAGACAAATAACGTCTCCAAAAGTTTTTTAAAATAGTCACTATTAAGATGTCACATATGGTAAGGATTCTAGACCCCTGTAATTCAAGCAGTGGCACTAGGTTCTGCAGTTGTATAAAAATTCAGTGGTGCAAGAAGAACATAAAATTATGACATCTACTTTTTGTGTAACCCCTTGCACCATATGGCGTCCCTATGCTTGTACGATTTCATTCTACTCTTACTAGGTAGAACATGCATACACACAGACTAAGGGTCACGATGTGTCACAGTTTGCACCCATATCACCTGATAGTTACTGCTGAATGTTTCTATACTGTGTTTCCCAGGGTGAGGCAATCTAATCCATAAATTGCCAACATGAATGCCAAACACTGTAGAATCAAAAGCCTGTCTGGGTGTGACAAACTTGCTTGTAGCAAAGGCTGTGGTGTGTCTTTTAAAGTGAGAGTTCTTTGAAGATTAAGGCTCCAGTAACAATGTTTGCTGATGATGTAAGCAATTTAATTGAAGCATTGTTTAAAGAATAAGCATATGTTAACTCATCATATTTTATGCACTGCTCCTGTACATATAAACACACCTGAATTTAAAAACAAGGCTTGGGTTTCTGAAACTTATCTAAAAACTATTATTTAAATAAGCCTTATCACCTAAGAGGGATCCTAGATAAGTGGTTCTTCCTCACTCATGTCTACCACTCTGAAAAATGCAGCAAAAGGAGAGGAGCAAAAGGAATATAAATATTTCGTTTTACAGAGCAGAAAGACTGCTTCAGCCCCTCTCGCCATGGTTGGTACATTGTCTTTACCATTATGTTCTACCTTCCTTCTACAGCTCTTTCAATGACATGATTTTAAATAGAGGTTCTTAAATGCACTGAAGTTTTGGCTATATTAAAAATGAGGGAGGGAAAATATTGCAAAAGCCTTTATTGCTTAAGCAAAAACCGTCTAACTCTTGCTGAACAACTTTTGAGTTTTATGAGTTGGAGTGACTTGTACATGTTCTCCCAGACTGGTTCTAGGTAAATCTTGCACATGTATAGCCAGTTGTGGTTTCTTTTTTTGTTTTTTTGTTTTTTAATGCACTGAATCCAATTTGGGCCTGTTTGGGAAGTGCAGAAAACAAATGCTGTCCTCTGTTGTCCTCCTAGCTCCTTGCTGGTTTATTTACATGAATATAAGAATCATTCCAAAACTTCCTTATAAAGGCCACTTGAAAACCCTGATGCCAGGACGTGATTCAAGGATAGGAAAATTAAGAACAAATGAGATAAAAATTCTAAATCTGTTTTCACAACTCTTGATTCAAATTATGAGATTTTATCATATAGCCACAGCAGGAGAAAACCATCAACACTTTGCTAGCTGTTGAGAAACCACTTGTGTGAAAGCAGCCCTACAGATTTTAGTGGAGTTACCCAGGGAAAAGATCAGAATCTGAACTTTTGTTTGAAATGTCTTAACAGCAAGAAGTCTGTGAGTATGTTTAACAGATGTATTTTCAGTTAATAGATTCAAGATATTTCAATAATCTGCTCTAATGTAAGCTAAGTATATGGAATTGCATTCTTTTTATCATCAATAATATATCTTCCTATCTCAACCTTAACTTTCTTTATTGCTAAACAGGCAAGGTGTCCCACTTTTATGAAGAAGTACACAGAAGAAAATCTTTGTAAACATGAGGGCAGAGCATCAGCAAAAAGCAGTTGCTATGACCAAGTCTATTATACTGCTGACTTCAAACAGTGACACAATGGAAAATAAGACAATGAGATCTTTAAAAGACAGTAAGACACCAGGAGTGCAATCTTATACTCAGAAATAAGCTCCACTTAGTTCAGTGGAACATCCACAAAAATAACACATCATTGCCAACTTTCTCCTCAGATGTCCAAATAGTTGCCTTATTGTGCAAGATAAAGTTCTATTTAAAAATAACTTATTATTCTTCAATGAATAATAAGCTAACACTACACTCACAGGATTTTAAAAAGTTTTTAAATCAATGTGAAAATTAAATTAATCTTTAGTTGAATCACTCAGCCTCCATTTTCTGCTAAATGGTATGATCTTGTGTGCCTTTCTTAAAAAAGGAAATATTGCAAAGAGATGGCATGTAGTATTATATTATTAATAATATCCTGCTTTCTCACATAGTTTATCTAGCATTTTCAAATGTTCAAAGTGCTTTGCATACATTTTCTCAGTAAAAGTATATTGCATTGACAGCTGCATTGTATTTTGAGAATTACAAGCAGGTCATATTACAGAATCTAGTCAACATTATTCTAGCCAGGACATTATTTCTACAACCATAATGATGTTTTTGCTTTTACAGCATGCTTACAAACAAATACGGAGCGATCACTTACCTTTCTGTCTATTATCCACCACTGTGTTTTTGCAAGACCAAGCTCCAGCATTTGAAGCAGGCCTAACAACGTAAGTAATCTCCCACTGCCACAAGTAATCTCCCATTCTACCAGGCCATAAATACTATGCACTGGCATGTCAAATGCATGCATACCCTTTATAGTTTAAAAGACTACTGGCAAAAGGGAGAGTGAGCCACATGCACTCACTCTATTGCTCCGTGCTGCATTTCTGGATTCAAACTGCACTGCAGGTTACACTGGCTCTCTGTGCAGCTTTCTTCTCCCTTTGTGTCTTTAGAGACCAGAACTAAGATAACAGTGAGCCACAAGCACAGCTCATATTGCTCTGTGTTGTATTTTTTGGTTGAGAAACCACAGAAGGACAATTCACACTATTTTACAGACCTTTAACCACCACCATGTGGGCAGACAGACAAGCAGGAAAGCCAGCCCATCCATGTCCAGCTGCTACCCGCCCCCGCCCCCACCCCCCCGGCCTGCATATCTATTCATTAGGGCAGAATTGGTACTGGCTACAGCTGAGAAATAACCTGCATATCTGCTTTAAAGTGTCTGGGCACATTTATTTGCAACCAGGGTCTATAGGTCTGCTTCAGTTGAAGCAGACCAAACGTTGCTTTACACTGCTGCAGACATAATGGCGTCCTACCCTAATAAGATGGCACTAGGGATATCCTCGATATCCAACCAGGGATATCCCAAGAATCATAATTAGTTGCATACATTGTATGAGCTTTCACACTTCCAGGAATCCCTCCTAAGTTCAAAAATGCTGCATTGTGGAACTGGTTGTGTTCCGATCTCCTCCCCAGCAGCACAGTACGGGAACTCTCATACAGCAATGCAGCATCCCATCCAGGAAAACAGTGATGCAGCAGTGCCAACAGCTGTTACTAGGGGCAGGACTGGATTATGTCACCGGACATACATTTTGGCATCACATTAATATCAACAGTCAAGCACTTGGTCCTTATGTACTGCTATACTGTTCAAGGTGGGTAGAATTTGATTTGTTCTCAAGTGCCCTTAAAGCATCAAATCCTTATTCCTAATTTGTGACAGAAGAATTTAGGCCTATGTGCTTATAATTAAGAGACCCGACTCTAACACTCTGGCCACTGGACTATTATCCAGAGTGCATGTTAACAGCCAGTTATCATCCTCCTGTTTACAGTACCCTAGATTTATACATAATGTCATGATGAACTGCAGCATAGGTGAATATAAATAATTAAACTACGTTCCTGTAAAATATCTACATAAACATTAAAGCCAACATCCTTCAGAAAGAAAGCCAGCTCTGTACTTCTAACAGAGGATCTTTCGCTATAAGAGAAAATCCCTCAAGGATATGGATTTTGTATTTCAAAAGGCATTCAGATGAGACTAAAAAGAGATTCTGCACTTATTATATTTATATAAACACTGCAAAACCCCTCTTTATAGAAGAGCCGGCTTATATTAGGAAGCTACTTGTGTATGGATATGTTAAAATAGCAAGAGGTCACCCAGTGAATGGGTTAGTCACGATCAAGTAACACTGCCATCTATTTAAGCCATTTTGTTATAGCTGCCAAGATAGTTTGTGTGTAGTGATACTAAACATGGGCCCAAGAAGATTCTGGCAATTATAGATCCAGAGACAGCCCTGATTTGATGTATTTAGGGCCTTTGCAAACACACTTCATATTGCACATTTTGTTTTGAATTGCATATACCTTGCATGCTTACTTGAACAATGTGGGCCAACTCATTTATTTTTTAGTTATTTGTGCAAAGAAAAAAAGCATTATGGATTTTATACTAGAGAAGGCAAATGTCCAAGATTATTTTAAAATTCATAAGAGGATTTGCTTGAGTGCTAGGTTCTTCTTTTGAAGTCCTGCTCTTGTCTTGCTCATCACAGAATTCAAGCAGTGACAAACTGGAAACCATTTCATTAAAATACCTTTCTTTTGCTAGGCACAAGAAAACATCAGACTTGGTCTTGCCATGGCCTTCTGCTTACTGCTTAAGTAAACAGATAACAACTTACTGCCACAAATTATTTTTGACCACAATACAATATAAGAAAAGCATGTGTCAAGATACAGACCATAGCCCCAAGAGTAGCAACCCAAAAATGGTGTGCCAGTACACCAACAGAAAATTTCCATCTCTGACATTCATAGATTTGAGGCCTTAACTACAGGAGTAAGGACACGGTCTTATTCTGTCACAGTGTAGCTACGTTGTCACAGTACAGAATGAATTAAACAGGAAGTCAGAGCTTGCTGCAGTGACAGTGCTAGTGCTAATGGTTTCCAAGGTTAAATTTGGTCTTCTACACGAGCCTTCCAGTCTGAAAAATACACTTCCAGTCTGAAAAATTATTTCAAGACTTCTGGCTATACAGCATGAACTAAAAAGTCTCATTAATGATAGTACTTTTACCAGAGAACTGCATGCAAGATAATACAAGAACTTCCACTTCTCTGTGCAGTATAACTAGATTATAAAATATATTTAGATCTTTAAGACTGTATTTAAGTCAAGTATAGGTTTCTTCTGATCTACCGGTTTTCCTATCCCAAATTACAACAAAACTAGGTCACACCATGTTTTTTGCTTATACCATGCCTAGAAATGCAACAAAAATTTTGCAATCTTTGCTTTTTCACATACTACCCATGAATCCTTAGGTTTCAAAATCCTCTTTATAAAAAAAATTAAACCCACCAAGCTTAATCACAAATTCCAAAATAAAAAATAAAATTGCCATTGTCCAGATTTTCACTGATTACATGGCTGGCTGTTTTTAATAGTAATTAACCTTCAGAAACTGGAGACAAATTCCCAATACATTTTAAGCACACAGCCTCTTTCCTGATAACATATGGCCTCATTTGAACAGCATAGGCCAATGTCTGAAGCGAGTCTATATCTATTTTTAGTAATGACTTATAATCTACCAAAATCTATTGCCCTTGCTGGAGGAGATCAGCTCAACATTTTGTAAGAAAACTGTAAATCCCAGTGGACTATTTTTTTTTAAACAGATGCATTCCTATTGAACGGAGAAATTTCACAAAGCCATAGGCATATTTTCCAATAGTCCAGTTTTAGGCTCCAGTACTTGTGTACTGAAAACATAATGCTATTGCCATATGGTAAAAAAAAGGGTGGGATTCCATTTCAGCTGCTCAGTTTTTTTAGGACTTATCCACCCCACAAAAGAATTATTTCAATAATCACTCTTGCAACGGTTTTATTGATCAGGTGCATTAACTTGACAGCAAACTACCTATATAAGAGATGCACTCTTAGGCTATAGTTACTTCTCTGACAAACACTATACGGAACATTCATGATTCAGAGATGAGCAATCATGAAGCCTGAAATGTCAAAGGATAAACTATATACAAGAGGTGTATTTTTAAAATTAAGTCCTCAGCTCTAATAATAGAAACCATGCAAAAACAACAGAGTCTTGCTATTTCTGCAACCATTTAACACATTTATGAATATTCTATTTAGTATTAGTAGAATAATCTCACCTGAAAAGGAAAGATATTGTCAGCTCTGTTCAAACTGTCTTCCATCCAAGATTTTGGAGCAAAAGCGGAGCTGGGCCGTGCATACTTCTGCAACTGGATATGATTACTTGGGAAATTCTTCTTCAGGGGTGAGATGGAGTTCAGGGGTGTGATTCCTCCATTCAGTCCCCTGCGGTGGTCTCGCCCTTGGGACCCTCCCCACCCACCATATCCACCACCGCCACCGGGACTCCATGAAGAAGACGGTGTAGGTGATGGGCTTTGGTAGCTGCTCCATGGAGAAGGTGGTTTGTTAAGATTATTAGCAAGATGAGGCAGTTGATTAAAAGCAGCATTTCTATGCGTAAATGGAGGTGGATGAGGGCTTGCAGGAGACCTTCTCTGTTGTTGATGCTGATTGTGATGATGCTGAAAATGGGGGTGATGAGGGTGGTGCTGAGAGAGGGGTCCAATCTGAGGGGAAAAACTACCCCCAAAGCCAGGACTGACATGATGTGGAAAATTCTGAAACAGCAGAGCACCATTATTAGCTGAAGCAGGAGGAACCCCTCCCTGATGGAAGAAACTCGCATCTTCATTGATTATTGTTGAAGAAGAAGGAGCTATAGCTGCTGACCAGTTACTGAAACCAGTCAGAGAAGATGCTGTAGATGTCAAGGGCTGGCTTGAAGTACCCAGCCCTGTAGCCTCTTGATAATCAAATCCTGTTAACACTGGCGATTCTATTCTTATTTTCTCCTTCCCATTGCCGTTCTCGGAAGAATTATCCCCCTGGTTTTCTTCAGATTTAGATTTCTCTGATTCAGGCAGCATGCCTGCTTCCTGACTTTGACTAGGGGAAAGCTGCTGTTTTTCTAGGGAGTCTTGCTTTTCCTGTTGCTGAGTTTTAGATTTTTCGGACCCCAGAATCTCATCCTGAATGTTATGGGCAGCTGGAGCAGGAAAGAGCCAAGCTGACCCAGCACTACTGCCATTGGCAGCTGTGTTATTTATAAAAGCAGCGGGGCTGGGGGTTGCATTTTGATGGTGGTGCGGAGGCTGCAGATGTGGATGAAATCTGACTGGAAAAGCTGACTTATTCCCGGTGTTGTTTTGCACTAACACGCCAAACCCGTAATCCCCCATTTATTTTATTTAGGATTTTAATTCCGCCTGGAAAGAAAAAACAAAACAAAACTTTAAAATGTTTTTGTTCTTCTACTAAAGCAAGATAATTGAAAATTACTACAGATCTTTCACCTCCCCCTTCTTTCCCACCTACCCACTTGAGATATCTGATTTGGATATTATTCCTGGAATCTTATTAATGAGATCACTTAAAATATTGACATGGATAGACTTGTGTTCACTTCCTTCAAATATCCAGAAGGAATAGAAAGTAAATCTTTGGTTAACAAAATAAGAGGTTTCCTTTTTTTCTAAAAGGAAATGCACAAGAATGAAGTGGGGATGAAAGAAAGCTCCTGTGAATTCTTTTTTAAAAAGATTTTTAAAAAACTTTTTTGCCTTAACAGCCGCTTCAACCTGCCCATGTACACGTTAATGGAAACAATACCATGACATCTGGTGCTCCTCACTCCTTCACAGCTCCAAAAATATATTTAAATCTGGAATAATTTAATAAATTCTATATAATCTAATATATATCTGTGTTCTATTCTAACAGTCTTTGCTGCTAAAAATCTGAAATTTTTACCTCAAGATTTCAATGGTGGAGCAAGTTGTACAGGAGAGCTTTCCCCACCCCCCCAACCTGTGCTGCTACTGCCTTTGCCTTGTAGGACTATATGTATAATATGCTCTATGCGGATGCCCTTCTGACAAGTCCTTTCCATATAAAGCAGGGGAGGGTGCGAGGATTTGTTCCTGTTTTAATCTCTAGATATCTGCATTCACTGCGTGTTGTGTGTATGTGTACGGACTGAGTTGTGCAGGAGGAGGGTGGATTCTTGTTGTTGCTGCCGCTGGTTGGGTGGGTTCCTGGTTGCTGCTTTTCCGAGCTCGCTTCCTATTATGATCCGATATTTGTGTGTCCTTCAGATGAATCCTGGCTGCCTGCAGAGGAAAATTTTCACCTCAGAAAAATCAGCAGTCAAGTGTTTGGAGGGGGGACGGGGGGGGGATTGAAATAAGTATATCTGGCGAGCAGAGTTTAGGCATTTTAAAGCCATCAGCAGAATAATTTATTGTGCGACAGCGAGTGGGGGGGGGGGAGAGATCGGGCTCAGATCCTTGGACTGAGAATATTTAGAAAGCGGGGGGTGGGGTGGGGAGGGTTGGAGAGAAGAGAGACGAACCTCTTTCGAAGGTGGGGGAAGGTGAGGAGGGAAATATAGGGCTGATGCCGCCCTTGCTCCCTCGGAAGGGGGGGGGAATGAAACGGAGCAGGGATTTCACCCCCACCCCCGCAGAAGGACTTTTACCTCAGGAGGGGCGCAGTCTCCGGCGGGGAGGGGATGGCGCTGGCGGGGGGCCGGGCTCCTCTCTCCCCCATGGGAGCCGGTTTCTCAAGGGAGGGAGGGTCACGAGGATCGCTGGGTGGCGAAAGAGCAGGGAGGGGCGATATCAAGCCTGGCTCCGGAGGTTGGAGGAGGAGGAGGAGGCGGCGGCGAGGGAGGCGGCGGTGGCGGTGGCGGCTCCCAGGGGTCCTGCCTTTCCTCCCGCTGCTGATGCTCCGGGGCTGCGGCGGCTGCTGCTGAGGCTGCGGCTGCTTCTCCTCCGCCTCGGCTCCTCCCGGCGTCGTTCTTTTCCCCTCATGTAACACAACTGTTTCTCGGGCGGGAGGACCGGGGGGGGGGCTCCTGTTTAGTCACGAGGCGCTGGGCTACTCTGTCGATCCGCCGGTTCGCCACTCCGGCCCGGCCGCCTCAGCCGCCGCCGCCGCCGTCGTCGTCTCCACAGGACCGAGCCTCCGATCGAAATGACAACCAGCTGGAGACAGGCAGCGCGGCACTTCCGGTTCAGAGAAGCCACGCCTCTTTCCCCCCCCCCGTCTCTCCCTCTCTCTCCCTTCTCTGGCAGCGGCCACGCCCCTCCCTCTCCTCCTCAGCCGCTAGGCCGCCTCTCCCTAAGCCAAAAGAGGGACTGCGGGAGTCGGCAGCCCTTTTGGATGAGGGCAGAAATTGTTCGGCGCGGTGGCCATCTTTGCTTTGGGCAGTTTTCTTTTCCTCAGAGCGAACCAAGGCGGACATGTTGGTTTAGGTCGGGGAAACTCCCGTGACAGGTGAAATTATAGTTGGCCTCGCTTAAACAGCCATTTTTGAATATGGCAGATGTTAAGGTTTTATCATTGGTTAAAGGGCTCACTGAAGATTGGCTTGTTTTATGTGCTGGAAATTAAAGCTGCATCACACACACATATATGCATTTATATATATATATATATATATATGTATTAAGTATGTGTGTGAGAAAGAGACAGGTGCAGGTTTACTTACCAGCACATATAGATGCAGAGTTTTCATTCGAATAGGTCGCTTAAACATATATAGGCGACCACGTATTCGAAGAAGAACTCTGCATCGAAGTTAAGAGAGAGGTTGACCCTAGTTTAAGTCGTGAGACAGGTAGAAAAAGCTTTTTTTAAATGCCTTTTTAAAGAACAGTTTTCATTTCAGGTCACCCCACAGGAGCATGTTGTACGTTTCGCCTTCCATGACAGTTCATGTTTCTCCTCCTTCGGCCTCTGCTCGAGGCAATGAGGAAGTTTAAACTGCAAGGATCTTGAGAATACCTCGATAAAAACCTTTTTGCTGGAAATACTAAGCTTCCTCTCCTGCGGCGACTTTGGGGAGAGTGCAGAAAGGGTGAAAAAGAAAAGACTCGTTGCGGGGAGAGACTGTCGATCTCTTCCAGGTGCCAATTTTTACTGCAAGAAGGTGCAAACCAAATGAGACAGAAAGGATTTGGCTAAGCACCAGCGAGCGCTCCGTGAACCCACAGAACAGGCCAGACCCAACTACGTCCTTATGGATGTTGCATCAACAGAAAACCAAAGGGCACCTCCTTTGCTGTGTGGGTGTGTTTGGTCCCACTTGGTGATAACCTTATGTACTGACCTCTCATGCCCCCCGCATGTCTCTATTTCCGCAACACGAAAAGGCACATGTTTACACATACGTACCAAAGACGGAAATCGCCGTTGGCAGCTTAACAATTTACTTATGAATCCTATCCAGGGTTAACGCCTCTCTGTGCTGTCCCTGAACAGACGGCTTGAAACTTGCGAGGGCCAGGGTTCCTTTAAATGCCAGCACGCCTTTGTCGGTGCGTTAGGGTGATCAAAGATTAGCCATGGCGACGGGCGGCATGACTTTCAAACTTATACGTGGCTTTTGCCAACCGCAGGGCCGGGCTGCGCCCTCCTCGCCGGATCTGGCAGAAAACCCAGGCTGCTTCTGCCCCTGAGCGCATCTGCAGCGCCGGCAACCCCGGATGCAAGCAGGAAGGCGGCGGGGCTGGGATCCGCAAAAGGGAGCCGGGAGAGAGCGCCCACCACTAGGCTGGGGTTGCAAGATGGGGAGGGGGGGAGGCAGCCTGAAGGTGGCAAGAAGAAGAGACGAGGGCCGTCTGTTTGGGGGTACAAGCCTTGCCTCTGCTCCTCTCCCCTCGGAGGAGTTGGAGGGCAATGCTACCTTGTCGTTAGGAGAGCTAGCGGGAGAAACACTCCTTCTGACCCGAAAGAAAGGAGGAAGCAGGAACGACAGCACGAAAGTGGAAAGAAGGGGGGAGGGGGAGGGAAGAGACCCTTGAAAGGGCAGTTCGTGCCTTACCTACTGGCTCTTGCGAAAGAGACCAGTGGGACCGAGGGGGTGGCGGGGGAGCATGGCCTCCGTGGCAAGCCCCTCGGAGGGTTGTCGGGAGACACACCTGCTAGCCCAGAGAGAGGAGGAGCCGGCTCCTGGCAGCCCTCGGGGCAGGGAGTGAGGGACCGATCTCAGCCAAGGCACCATCTGCTCGGAAGAAGAGAGTAGGGACCCCTCCTAGTGCAGACAGCTAAGGTGCAGGAGGGCGAGGGTGGCTCAACAAGGGAAGCCATCCGGGGAATGTAAAGGGGGCAGAAACACATTTGACTAAGGCATCGCTAGCTAGTGCTTCTGTTGAGTGAGGTGCATGGATGGATCCCCCTGACCCGATCACAAGGACGAAGTATGTCGTTGTCACTCAAGGGAGGTTGAGTGCAAAGAAATGTGACTTTACACGCTACCTCTGACTGCATGGACAGTAATCCTAGCGTTAAGAGAAATTAGAAGAGTCTTCAATGATGAGCATTTAGTAGGCCACAAGGAAGCTGCCACCCATGGGCGTTGTGAAGGGTGGGCAAGGTGGGCAGCACCCCCCCATAAAGTAAATAAATAAAAATGCTTAACTAACTGACCAAACACATCTAAGATAGTTCAGTTCTGCCCCCAAAACATTGATCCTCCCTCCCCCCATAAATCCTGGCTATGCTATGTCAGTGCTGTCACGCTGATTATAATGACAAAAATAAAAACGTTGAGAGCAGGGATCTCTTTGCACTGCATAAACAAAGTGGAGCATTTAAGGTTGCAGTTCTAAGGGCAGCAGGGACTTTAAGTGGTATAATTTATGTTTTGCATGCTGTAGGTTCCAAGTTCAATCTCTTATCTCCAAAGGACCAAACAGCCGATGATGGTCCAGAGTTCTGCCTGCAATTGTACCTACAAAGCTAATACTTGCCAATACTGGGCCAAATAGTCTGACCTACAGCTTCCTATGCTGTTATTTGGATGTAAGCTGCATTGAATAAGTAGACCAGTGGATTCCCCCCCCCCCATAAATTGCAAATTTAAACGTTGTGTATATGCAAAAGATAAAATTAAAAACATGATCTTCAAGCAATTCTGAAAAAGTCTTCCATTTTTGGAGATTCAAAAACCGAATATTCTGGTACCAAATTTATTCATCCTGCTGCATTTTGTGACCTGGTATTTTTCGCCCAGAAATAATTCCCACATTCAAAAAGTGGCAATACATTCAGATTTATTTAAATAACAGTTCTTACATAAAGGAGCAAGGCTTGCACACAAAAATTAACAAATATACAATGGAGTTTTCATCCTCTTGTTGCAGCAGAAAGCCAAGTTCCAAGCAGTATGTTGTGTAGGAGTTTTGTGTAAGAAAGTAATTCTCATATGTTCTGGTTTCTAAAAATGGTAAAACCAGACTGCAGCACACTCTTGCTTTTCCTACAACAAGGATCCTTGCACTGCTATCCTATACACAATTACTTCAGAGTAAATCCCATTGACCTCATCGAGACTTTCAAGAAAACATTTGCTGGCTTAGGCTGTACATTGTTGCCATCAATGGCAGGACCCGCCCGCTGTTGTCCAGCAAAAGCAACTCTAAAGGTTCTTTAAAAGCATCAGATAAAACTAAATATAAGGAATCATACCGATCACTCATAGCATTCCACATCTATAGCATGTTTTACAAGCAGCCATTTTGCACTAGCAGTAGCACTTGCTTACCCTAAAATCCTTGACCTGCTCCTGCACCCCCCTGTTTCACCAACAATATGCAATTTATTACTGTTCAATTTTCAAAGGTTCTTACCTGACTTGGTACAGTTAGGGTGCTTCCAGATGACCCGTTTGTTGAGCATTCAGCTTGATTTGTTTGTGGAAAGATTAGGTGACATTGGCTATTTGATGAGCATTCATTCTGATTTGCTTACAGTGATGTAAAAGCAGATGTAATCCACATCCAGTGCATTTCCCCATCACTTTCGTTATTGCACACTGCTATATTAGTACAACCTGAATTTGCTGGTATGTGATTAAATCCCACCCGAAAATAATTGACAAACTGGAAGTGCCCTTACTAAATACCACCGCATAAGTAGTAAATCATATTTTGATTTGGCTTTTACGTCTCTTTTTCACCATATTTTCAGAAGATAAGTCACAAGTGACAGCAGGGAAGTGCAATATTGGATAGGTGTGAATCTCAGTGTGTGTTTAGTCTCCCCGAGGCCACCTGTATCTCCTACAATTCTCCATCCTCCTTCACATGCCAATCCAAATGGAAAGTTCACAACTCCTTTGCTCATTTCATAACTTCTGTTACACCATCTTAGCCTGCTCACCTCCACTTATACTGTGCTTGTACATCTACTGGATAAACAAGGCAGATATTACAACTGTGCCATAAGTTTCCAGTGGAAACTTCCAATGGAAGCTAAACCTTGTAGCATTGCCCCTGGAATCACTCATCATTTGGGGAAGAATATAGAGCAGTACTGTGCAAATCCCCAGATATTGTAACTAGACTAAATTTAGTAACACAAAACATGGGCATTTGGATTTTCTGCTTTCAGATTCAGTTGTTGATGTGTTCATGTGCTTAGCGCAGAAATCAGTAGCCCTTGAATACTACTGAGAGGAAGACGAGGAGGAGAAGCTGTTTGCATGACAACTGCAAAAGGAAAAAAAATCCACAACCACAACCAATAATCCTTAAAGCCTTTTCTCAGCCCATCCCAAAGAGCTTGCAAGTGTAGATGCATATTGCAATATGCCAGGAAGATTAGTAAACCAGAGTTCTATTATGCAAAGTGACTTTGCAAAGCTGGAGCAAACCTTTGTACCTTGACACTGTGCCAGATGCATCTTTATCCCCCATGACGTATGTAATGGTTCTAGGGGTTGCTCGTGCGTAAGCTGGTGCAAACACCTGGCTGGGTTGCCTGAGTGAACCTTTTCTGTCCGGACAGCCACTCACCCATGGCTGTCTCAATCGCTGGCAGAATCCGTCAGTGGGCGTTTCTTAAACTTCTTCCAGCAAAGAAGCTCTTTGACGCCTAGTCTCCTCCTACTCTCTCTGCGCAAAAGCCTTCTGCGCAAGGAGGGCGTAGGCAGCGGAGGACCCCTACTCTCCCCGCTGGTCCCCAGCAAGGAGTCATGGGACCGCCTCGCCGCTTCCCCCATCTGCCCCCCTTCTCCACTGGTGCTACGCTGATTCTCTTTCCCAGAAGATGGGCTGCCTCTCCCAATCCCGGGACGCTCTCTGGAATCCCTCTGGATTTTGCTCTCTCCCTCCGGCACTGATGGCAGTTCCCTGACAACGTACTACCCTGTTCCACTTCTCGTCATTCCTATCTGCTCCTGCCCACTTCAACTTCCCTTATTTTATTCTCTGTTCCCACCAACACCTGTGTACATATCACAAAATCCCTCAAACTATTCCACAAATATTCTGTAAAAATTCTGTTAGAAAAATCACACAAATAAAGTGTGCATGTAGATGTTCATGCATTCCTTGCACACACACACACCATTTTCTTGCCAGGAATGCTAGAGCCAATTCTTGAATGTTTATTCAAACCAGACATTCCATGTTTTTTAAAGCACGGCAGTGAAAAAGATGGATCATGTACCTGGGGAAATGCAGTGTCCACTATGAATATTCAGTAATTCAATATTCATTTAACAGTGTTAACATCTTTTCTGTATTTGTATTTTCTCCCCTCTGATGCAAACCTCCAAGCAAAACTTTGAGTGCCGTTTTTATACATGACAAATTTCATACATAGCTATCGGTTTCTTGTAGGGAATTGTGCACATGCTCCATGTTCACTGTTGCAGCCGTGTTCATCCAATGTTCTCTAGATGTATCTTTCTCCCCTGAAAATCACTTCTTGACCAAGTGGTTTCATTCCGAAAATAAAAGCTCATTGCCGATTGATTCTGCATTGCTCCACATGTCTCTGTTTGAAAACAGATATAGGCGTTATTGAGAATGGGGAGTGGATGTATCCACACCTGTCCAATGAGGTTTTGTGCAGACACAAGGCAGTAACAGAGAGAAAGGGCTAGAGAGAACTTTGGAGTTGAGATAGATCTTTACAGTTTTCCACCTTGTTCTCCATTTCAGGGTTGGGAAGAATGCCAATAAGGGTCCATTTATCAATTTCTGCTGAAATCTCTATGGTTGAGATTGTTGCAAAACCTGACCAGGTAGCAGGAAATATGAAAGACCTCCACCTAAGACCATGAAGACGCATGGCTTGTTAACATAGTGAAACTAGGTTAGATGGAGCAATTTTCTGTCTTAGTATAAGGCTGCTCCCTATGCTCCTGGGTCAAGTTTGGGACTGGTTTCAGCCACCCGAGTTCCTCTTTCCTGCCAGAATCCTGCCTTAGAACTCTCAGGTTCATGTAATATATAACTAAATTCTTATATGGGATTCACTTCTACGTAGGAAATGCTATAACCATCCCTTGCCGTTAACAAATGCGCATAGTTCACTGTGTGCACATGCTGTGGTAACCTCCCACATATCAGGATATCTTCACAGGAAGACACTTCAGGACTGTGTCTACACTTACCTGTTTGCAGTGCAAAAATGCCCAGTGAAGTTGCCTCACAACTGGGCCTAACATGCCATCAGGCAGGTTTTCTTAGAGTAAAATCCTTTTTTTGCTTCTCTTTGGAATGTTGCACAACAGCAGGTTTTGTAAGAATCCTATGTTATGCTGCACCAACTACCTTCCTTACTGAAGTCACATAGCACGCTCCATTCAATGTATTTCCCCAGAAAAATGCCCAGCACCTTAACCCCCTGACCTGACAAACTAGACTTGGGCTCAGGTGCTAGGACACATGGCTACTGCCAGGAGCCACCTGGTGTCAATGCAAGACAAGGGTTTTTTCCTTGCAAACACAGCCATCACTATGTTGCTTCAGAAGGTTGAAAACAAAATAAATTATAAAGTATGTCCTCAAAAATCTACCTTGCAGATATATTTGCTACTTAGGCCTTTCTCAGATCTCTGTTACAATATCCATGACTGCTAGTGTTCTGTTAACAGCCATACCACTTCCATCATAAACTTCTAATATCATCTCCCTTCAAGATGGAGACTCTTTGAATAAAGATGGTCTCTCAAAAGGCACCTTTCCTTTCAAGCCAGGGGGAAGGCGACTTGAGTTACCTTTGTGGATTACAACTGTCAGAGTATCATCTGGCTTGAGGAAAGCCGAGCCCTTGGCCTTGTCAGTCAGCATAGTGCAGATAAAACAACCACATGACTTCTCAGTTGCTGATAGTGGCCACATATGCTTCTTTAACTGTGTTTTGTTTTGCTGATTTTATCATTTTATTTGTTTTAAAATACAGACTCCTATTCTACAAATATGAAAGGATCCAATCTTCTTAGCCTAGAAATAAAGGAGTGCCATATTGGAGCGAGGGCATCTTTTTGTATAAACTAAGCATCCATTTCTTTTGTAGACCAAATCAGTTTTCTATATTTGAAGTTTCCAATGCTTGAAGTAGTAATTATTTGGTGGCTGGAACTCTGTAGCCATTTTTTGGGGTGGTCAAGTGCAGCTTGGGCTGGGAGGCCACTATGTTCATCATTCATATTTCTGAGTGGCATCTCTAATATGCCAAGTATGACAAGTAGTCTTTGTGTACAATGGTAGAAAGGACATCTGACAGAAGAAAAGACTCAGCATCATTCACTTTCTCCTCCCTCAGCTATCTCTGATTGAGTTATCTCCAGGCAACCAAGCAGTAGCTAATATAGAATAGACCAAATTTAAGAAAAATCTTTTGTTTCCAAATTGCATATTTTCCAGTGCAGTCCTATGCATGTTTTACTTGCTGGTCGGTGGGGGCCATCCCATTTTGTTCATGGTGATCTACCTCCTAGCGACGTGTCTGTGGGTGTTTATGAATGGGTGTGTAGGATTGCCGCCTTAGACCACAGCAACGCTATAAGTGATCTCTCTTAAACACTCACAGCCTTTTGTCTTAGGCAA